TGCCAACAGTTATGTCGTCACTACCTCAGTAAGCGTACTGAAAGGTAGGTCTGGCCGGGCCAATGCCAACGGTCAAGTCAAGAGTCCAGGTAATCGCTGTATTCAACAGGAGGTTGAACTAAGGAATACATGGGTTTTCCTACAGTATATATAGTAACTGGTATAGGGGTTGATACCCAAAGAAGAGAACAATGAGAAGGGACGCGTAAGCTATCCTGTGAGAACGTAACTCAGAGAAATGAGAAATACAAGGGCGCCCATTGGTAGAAGGTGAGTCAAGGGAGATAACGTGTGGGAAGAAGATAGCGTCCATGGGAAGTTCTACTCAGAGAAAGGTACTGTCCAATAGCAATGCTTGGAATGGAAATGGAATGAGATAAGCATGGGAAAATCATAACAGAAGAATGATAGTGTATTGCCAGTATACAAAAGGTTCTATATAGGAGCTGATGTTGCAAGGTCCGAGTCTGCTTACGCAACCACTATAGCTCTGCATAACCTTACAAATCCTCTGGAACATCCACCTCTGTACCTTCCCCATCTTCCGGGCCTAATTCAGACTCTTCATCGCAGCCATCTTCCTCTTCCTGGTCCTCCTCATCCTCAACGTCATCCTCGCTTTCACTTCCATCCGACTCATATTCATTGGTGAGATCATTCCCGTCTGGCGCTGCATCTGAAGCTGAAAGAGCCTCCTCATCTTGGGCAGTTTCCTCGGCTGGATCATGCCTCGAGTTGGCGCTATTGTCTACAGGATAATGACCCATGCCACCTCCAGCATAGCACATAAACATGTCCCCATCAACGAACCTTCATTTGACAACCCATCAGTCTGACATGTACATAGTCACCTATTAGGACAATGTACTCACCAGTTAACATAGAAGGATCTCCAGTCCTTGCTTCCATTTGCTAATATTGTATTGTCTTCCTTTTGCCCATATGCAAATGCGGGATGAGATGCACACTGCGGATCACCTCATCAGGATCCAAGAATCCAAAAGCTTTGAGATCTGACTTGGGCACCAGCTCCACACGATGCAGGTGTCCAGCTGCAAACCCACCCTTGGAACGATTGACTAATTGGTACCAACTCACCCAGATGAACTCCATCTGTGTCATTTGGGTGCTGGAGGTAGGCACATTGTGCACAATGTCTGCATGGAATATGCCAAGGATCTGAGCATATAAGAAAGGGTGCCGACCAGAGTCAGAACTAAGGCTATCTGCATCTTGTGCTAGGGTCATAGCATTTGCCAGAGACCATGGATTCATTGAGTCTTGACACCAGTGAATGTCATACAAGGTGTAGTTTACTTGTAAGATTTTATGGGTGTATATGCAATTGTTTGAGAACGTCCGGCAGTGCTTCTGATTCATCAAAGCAAACGATGGCCTTGGTTTGTCTTCTTTGTGGGAGGTGAGATACTGATTGAGCTGCCTTGCACAGGTATTGCTCCCACCACTGTAATTTGGTTATCTGCCCCGTTGTGTTATTCTTATTTGTGCGTCCATAATAGTGTTTCACGTGACGAGGTTCTAATTCACCCTATGCCCGTAACAGCTCGTTATAGATATGAGTGATAAAAGGTAATATAATATGCACAGGTTGCATAGAATAAGAATCTGTTGTTCCAAACTGCCGTATACAGCTCACATAGTCGCCAAGGGCATGCAATTTGTATGTCGACACTTTTTCTTGGGTCCTGATTGCCTGCGTGACCAAGATGAACCGGCAGAAGTCTGCTTCTTATGTTGTCGATGTCCCCTTGCAGCCTCTTCACGTGGAAGTTCCTTCGTGTCAAACACAGAACATGTGTTCTTCGCAAAGCGCCTGAGCTGACTCACTAAAACTGTTGTCATCTCATCAAGAAATGAAAGGGTTATGTCCGTATGTAGCTGTAGTTTGGCCCAAGCATGCCACTCTGCCAAACCAAACAAGAGGTCCAGGACGATCTTATTGTGTGGCTCTGGCAGGAGCCCTTTGAAAACTGGCAAGGCACACTAGCAAGAATAATGTAGCGCAGCACCAGACCATCTGAGGATGAAAAATGAACCTGCAGTAAGTCTTCAAAGTTGCAGGCAGTGAGCTTCTTCATGCTTGATGCATTGTTTTAGAAACACTGTATGGTTGCCTGTCCGATGATATGCACAGACACACAACAGACCCAAAGACCAGAACAAAACCAACACACCACACCCAGCGGTATGGGTGCCGAAGGTCTAAGGAAACCGAAGGGTAAGATATAGTTCGTGAGGGAGGGAGGAGAAAGACACCGTAGATAGTCCTGGTTTATTGAAGCCACTAGAGTCGAACACGGAACTAGGAGCGATTGAAACCAATCACGGAGTCGGTCGAGGCGATCGACGGTGACCTGACTATTGATTCCCCTGTTGTCAAGCAGTTAATAAGCTCTTATAAAGGTAGACAATGAATGAAGAACAAAAGTCCCACACGCTGTGGTCAAGGATGCAAGAGGCTGAGAACAACAACAACGTAAGGGGAAAGGATTCGATTGCTAGTACACTAAGGTCGACGGATTTGACCTTCGAAGAATGCTGGGATGCAAACTCTGGATGCTGAGATGGGTGAAGATATCTTTCTTTTCTTTACGAAATGTTGCGATACACTATATATACAATCCCTAGCCGCAGACCGACTTCAATTCCACCGTACAAGTCCTGCCACTGCCATCCGCCATCTCGTGCCCGCTCACCGCTAACCATGTCATCTCGCGGTCCCTCATAATCCTATGTTTGTACCACTTTCATCCGGCCTACACTCATGCACTCATCCGCAAAGGCTCATACTCAACCAATTCGATCGACCACTGAGCCACCATGCTGTACCCGACACGTCTTGATCACGTGAGCAACTAGCCTGTCCCCTCCGGCCGCTATATGTCATATGGTTAGGTGATCCCATCCTCAAGGCTTTCCGTGGTCAGATCTTGACTGTGTATGTCAGAGTTGCGTGCCATTGTGCAAGGCAAATGGGTGTCGATAGAATGGTAGTACCAGACCGTTGGGCCCATGCTGCAGCAATCGAACCGGTTGAAGCAGTGAAGGCAGAGTCAGCAATCGACAGCTGACCCAACTGAAGGCCATCGAAGTCCTCGCCAGATGTCGTAGAAGGTTTCCCTCCAGCATGTGAGTCAATAGGCCAGAGACAATAGAGACGTAGAATACTGCTGCCAGATAGGCTCTCCGAGAAGTCATACATGAGGCTGAATCTGCGTTTTCGGAGGTCAGAGAGCGTTGGGGCGTATCACTGAAAGGGGGAACACGTCGGTATCTAAATTTTTGCTGATTAGCATATTATATTCTCTTGGAAATGAACAGTAGACAACCTCTGATTCAACTGCTGGATAGCATCACCACCAACAGTGAATGGGATATGCATCAAGTGTGTAAAAACTGCTTTCCATACACCCAGTTCAAATTTGTGCATCATATTGACAACCAGACTCGAGAATATATTGAAGCCGAAGTCGAGAAGTCTGTCCGAGAAGGCATTCTAAATTGTCATCTAATGGGCACTGTAGATGGAACTGTAAATCATTTCAGGCTGGAATGCTGGTACTGTAGATAGGATGCCGAAGCGTGATTAGTGCTATTAATAGAATTATGGCTCCGACAGCTTCCGTAGGGAAAAAATAAATTCGGAAAAATGCTGAAAAAATTATTAAATATTGATGGATGGGTATGCTTCTGATGCACACTATACATTAGGTAATCAGCTGCTAAAATAGCAAAGTATGCTAGGGTAGTCATTAAATCCACATTTATGTGCTATGTGCCCATATGGGATTTATTCCCAGGGGTACGGTGGATTAGTGCATAGAAATGTGAGAAAGGGATCAATGGCATGGATACACTGCTTGTTTTAGTTATATGGTCACAGAAATTATATTTCTTACTGCCAGCTCTGGGACAGTATTTTGTAATTTCCTGGTCCAGTACTGGTGAGAACTCTATGCCCCTTCGAGGGTTTGGTCACCTAATATGTAGCTACAGGTTTACTCAAAAGTGCGGGAGAATCTAACTGCTTGATAAATAGCTACCCCGTTTCACTGGTGCTCCTCCTGGAGCCTTTCCCCAGGTACCGCCACTGAGTTTGATGTTCCGCACAGCCTCCCCTAGTATATAGAGTGGTATGCAATCAAGGCGTAACAATTTCCGCACCATCTAAGTCACTATCCATGGAGATATCAAGATGCACCGCAAATGTGACACAAAAACACAAAGACGTTGCTACACCACATGAACCATACATGATATTCTCCTGCAAATACTCACTGGTACCTCTCCAGGTATGCAGGTGCCCGCAGCCACCAGAGTTAATTCATTTCGAACTCACTTCCTGAGTCACTCCAGAGTGCCTGACCTCGGAGCTAAATCATTCTAGGGATTTGCGCTGGCCTCTAAGACACTAGAAAGTCCAGAGTTAAATTGATAAATCTTTTGGAAAAATCCTGGGGTAGGGGCATGTGCATGTGATGTCGAATGGAGTCCGGACGAGGTGGGTAGAGACATTGAATTCATGATTTCCAGGGTCAGACAATCCTTGAGGCTTATCAATGGTTGCATTTGGGAGCTGCATGCCCCTGCGATGGTGGACTGACTTTGAGAAGCATGGCTGTGAGGAGCTCACAATGCACCTGTACTCATGGGTGATATTCTCAATGGTGTTCCTGTCGCAGTTGGCCAGGTTGGGGTGTCCGAGGTGTGCTGAATTCCTATGTGTTTGTTGAGGGCCTGAAGAGGCAGATCGATGAGTTGCCAGACATTATCTAACTGATTAGCATGTGCTGGTTGACCTGAGGTTGTGCACATATGTTATAGGGCCAGGATTTAATCTAGAGTATGCTTGATTCATGTTGGATACATTTGGAAGAGTAATCTGCTGTAGCATGCACTGATACAATGTGCATGTGCATTTTTTAGCAAAAATTGACAGCACAAATGTTGGGAAAGGCTCACCTGATGGGTCCCATGAAGGCAGTAAAATCTGAAGGAGGCCCAACCTTCTCTTGAAGTAGTTGGTCCTTGAACCTGGAGCTCCCAGGCCAAACAGAAGAGGACACGTAGAGATGCAAGAGGGCAGAGCATTTCTGGCTAGCCACAGTCATCAGCTATCATATTACAGCAAGGTAGCATGTCACATACCTTGACACTCGAATGCACCAGGTGGAAGTTCTTCCCACCCATCTTGCCAATGATCCTCAGGTAGCCCTTAGATTTGTCCAAATTGCCTGTGATGTTCTTCCACAACTTCTTGAACACAGCCATGCTGCCGGTGAAGTGCAGCACCACAAAGTGGGGCAAGTTGATCACCTGGCTGATAACAGGTTGCCGGGAATGAACTGGAGCACACCTGCAAGCAGGCTGGCTACCTCGAGGATCTTGTAGATGAGATAGTTTGAGTACATTGCCATCCGCAAGGGCTTCCAGATGACAATGTTCTCAATGAGCGCCAGGGCACCCGGGAGGTTTCCACCAATCACAGTGAAGTTGAAGGGAGAGACTGCAAGCATGAAGCCCTCCAGCAGTCAGTACTCAATGCAGCTGGGGTGGGGGTTAGCTGTGCGGATGATCCAAGGAAGTGGAACGCTCACTTCCGAGACCCGGAGCAGTTTTTGGGAGGTTGTTGGGCATACAGCTCCTTGACGTACTTGATGCCAAACCTGAAAAAAGTCGCTCAACTGTGCTGCAGTGTCAGCACGGCAAGGTGCAGTAGGGATTGCTGCCACAAACCTCAGCAGCAGTGTTGATCTTGGCCTGCCCACACATTCTTCCCTTGGCCAAGCATCATAGTGGCCAACAACTTGTACCAACACTTGCCGCTGACGAGGTTGGCAACCTTGAGTTGGCAGCCTTAGTGTCGGTGCCGGCCGAACTCTAGCGCAGCCGTGAGAGGCCGGCACCAACGTCCAGCCGAGCGCCAGCTCCCTTTTCGGACGAACAAAGTTTTCGCGGTCGTCGTCTCTTAGACCTCTACCATGACAGGTCGGCTCAAGCAAACTCTCGATGTTCGCTTCGTATCCTATCCTCCCGTAATCTAGTCTATCTTCTCTTTAATCCTTGCTACCGTATTCCCTCATAAAATGTCTGGTCAACACCTTGGACTCAACATCGGCAACCCTGTCAACCCCGCTCGCGCGAGAAGCAGTTCGGTGCCCCCTGCCCCCCCCTCAAGCCAGGAGATGCTGGACCAGATTGAAGCTCGCCTGCGGGGGTTCCAAGGCAGACCATCGGTGCAAAATCCCATCCGGCCTCCTATGGGGCCTGCGGAGCTGCCCGCCGGACCTCAGCTGCAACCACCTCTCGCACCCGCGCCGGTAGCATCGCACCCTTTGGTCGCCAACCCTGCCGCAATAGCGCAAGCGCAGCAACAGGCGCTGGCCAACCGGGACGACGGACGTAAGGTTGTAGCATTGCCCCCCATTGTGCCCGGCCAAAAGGCGGACCCGTTGAACCTCCGTGAGTGTTTTTTTTTTCTTTTTTTGTTTTTTTCATGCCCGGGCTTCGAGCTGCACACTTGGCACCTACAACGGTCAGCGCTGCACGCGCAAGTGCTGCACGCACTTCATTTTCGGGGTGCTGCATGCCCCTGAATCTGCGTCTCGCGCTGCACGCCGAGCCCGGGTGCTCTGCTGTTACTGCACCAGTCGCTGACTGGACTATCCTGCTGCAGCCATACCTCCAAAGGTCGATACAGCCTTCCGAGAGTACAAATACATCCCATACACCGCGCTCACCAAACGGGCGCGCGAGATCTGGAACCAGCACGGCGAGCAGTATCGCTGGAACACGGATGGCACCCCCGGCTTCTCCACCGTCGGGATCTCCCGCGAGACCGAACACACCATATCCTACCTCGAATGGGGTGGTGCCGCCCGCGCGGCCGTGCAACTGACAGCTCGCTACCACGGCCCTGAGCGCGCAGCTGCCTTAGCTTGCCACCATGAAAACGTGGCTGCCCTGGGCGAGTCCCATGGATGGGACCTGGCACGAAAGTATGACATCCAACAGTGCGAAGCCGTGGCTCGCGATATCCAGATGGACCTCGGCCCTTATGACTGTGATGCATGGGTACACATAACAACGAAGCCGGATGCCAGGGCGGATGATGGCGCCGCACCTACCATGCCACTCTCTTATGTTCCCGCACCTTCGTACAGCAAGCGGGAGACCACCGCGCCCATGCCGGACACCCGTGTGCTGAAGCGTCCCCGCTACCAGCCAAACGGGAACAACCGTTGCTTTCGCTGTGGACGCGAAAACCACTTACCAGTTAACTGCACCCACCGGCACACTGTCGCTGGCCGGCCCGTCACTGCCGTCCACACCACTGGCAATGGCAAGACCGCCCTCGTGCGTAACAATGGCCAGGTCTACTGCTTCAATTTCGCCATGCGCTCATCCTGCGTGAACCAGGACCGGTGCCTCTGGGACCACAGCTGCAGCATCTGCGGCTCCAATGACCATGGCGCCGGTGCCTGCCCTCGCCATGACTGACTCCGACCCGCGTCAGGTTGTCTCCCCCCTACACCCAGACAGGGTGGAGGCCCTGCTGCGCGATCTCAACATCTTGGATGCTGGCAGCACATTGTGGAAGGGCTGCGCTCTGGGTTCAATGTTGGCGTGGATACCTCCATCCCGCAGACACTCATATTCGAAAATCATGCATCATCACAGCTCGACGAGAAATTTATAGACGACTATATTGCCGGGGAGGTGGCTGCAGGTTGTTATTCAGAAGGATTTGCCCCGGCGGAGCTGGAACGGTTAATTGGTCCATTCAGAACTTCCCCGCTGGGGTTAGTACCGAAACCTGGAACAGACAAGTTACGGCTGGTACAAGATATGTCGTACCCACGGAACCATGTATGCATTAGAGCCTGAAAGCAATATAAACCACACCCCACTTACTTACATATCTGATAGCCCAATGTGCATTCGGTCAATGCCAGCGTGAACTCCGACGACTTCCCGACGGAGTGGGGAACATTTGCGGAGACATCCAGCCTGATATTAACGCTACCTTCCGGGACACTTGCAGCGGCATTCGACATCTCAGCGGCATACCGAATTACTCCAATACACCCGACCCAGCAAAATGCTCTGTGCTTGTTCTGGCGGGGGAAGGTTTATGTCGACCGCGCGGTAATGTTCGGACTCTCGTCAAGTGCGGGCGTTTTTGGCGCCATTTCCGACATGCTAGTCGGTATCTACAAGGCATCCGGCATCGAGCACATCAAGAAGTGGGTCGACGATTTCTTGGCATTCCGCCTGCCAGGTCAGTCCTGGACCGAAGACGACTTCATTGCACTCACCGCCAAAGTCGGCGTGCCATGGGGCATGCACAAGACCAAGGCCTTAGCATCGGTACAGCGGTACATCGGCTTCGATTGGGACATCGAAGCCAAGACCGTGGCTCTCCCGGAGGAGAAGTTGAATGGAATGTTGCAGCTGTTATCAACATGGCTAACCACAGACGCGAAGTTCGACACCCACGAGGCCCAACGTTTGCACGGAAAGCTCGTACACATATCCTGCATCTTTCCATTGGTGCGGCCCTTTCTCCATTCGATATCCCGTTTTGCATCCGGATTCAAATCCCCATGCGCGCGTCTCCGCCCTTCCCGAGCCATATTAGCAGACCTGCACTGGGTGCAGGAACTATTGCAAGTACTCCCGAACACGCTCCCGCTTGCCATTCCTGAACCTGTAGACATTTCTTGGTGGGGAGACGCCAGCACCTCATTCAGGATCGGAGTCGTGGTCGATGGCTACTGGGCAGCCTGGAAATGGGCCGACGGCGTGCGAGTCGGTCCTGGCTGCCGTTTCGACATTGGCTGGGCCGAAGCCGTAGCAGTGGAACTCGGACTCGAGTTGATAATTAATATGGATCTGCGTCGACAGCTACCAGCCCATGCGACTCGCATCCTGGTGCGCTCGGACAACGAAGGTGTGGTGTCTGTCGTGAACAAAGGCAGATCGAGGTCGCAGAACACTAACGATGTGCTGCGGCGGCTTTACCGAGCTCTGGCCACAAACACGATCACCCTGGAGGCACAACATGTCCCTGGGCGGGACAACGTGACCGACGCTCTCTCCCGGGGCGACATTATTTCTTTCCTACGTGGCTTTCCGGAGGCTTCCACCAAAGCCCGAGTGGACCTTCCTGCGGCTTTACAACCCTTACTAGTCCCGTTGTAAGGCCAGCATCACCGGTGCACATCATCCCAGCTTCCGCAGCAAACCCGCTGCCCACAGTACAATCACTCCGCCTCTTGAAGCCCCGGGATTCTCCCCTCCGCCCTCACTGCCGCGCCGACGAACGACTGTTCTTATGGCGAGGCGTGAACCAACCCCCACTTTCAGTCATCGACAACCCAATCATCCACCACCTTGCTGATATGGCTTCGAGGGCTTCCCTTCGCGACACGTCCAGCTACGGATCCGGCTTACAAAAGTTCCATCTTTTCTGCGACATTTTCTCCATCCCCGAGACCCGTCGCCTCCCCGCCTCATTCTCAATATTACACTCATTTGCCCTCTGGGCCGTGACCGACCCAGACCCGCTGGAACCCATTTTTGCCGATGGTACTCCTTTCGAGCCTATATCGGTGAAAGCGGCACGGAAATACCTGTCGGCGGTGCGCGCATGGCACTTAGCACAGGGATGGCCACCCCCGTTATCGCAAGAAGAGAGCGAGCGCATCAATTGGTTACTGCGAGGGCTGGACAACATCCAGCTCTCAAAACGGTCCCGTCCCCCTCGACAGCCCATCACGATCGCCATGCTAACCGCTCTTAAGCTCACACTCAACCTCTCGGATCCATTCGACGCCTGCATATGGACGATCTGCTCGTGCAGTTTCTTCGGCTTGATGCGCTTCGGGGAAGCAACAGTGAAGTCTCGCGCCGACTTCGACGGCTCCCGGCACCTCAAGCGCATTGACTCGACGTTTGCTCACGACCTCGACGGCCGCAGGTATGCTCGACTGGACCTGCCAGCAGCGAAAACGGCCAAACCGGGCGAGATCCAGCATATATTTTTAAATGAACAGGGCAATCTCTGCCCCCTCTGGGCCCTCGAAAACCTGGTTGCGGTAGTGCCCGCTAGCGCAACAGACCCACTCTTTTCCTGGAGAGACTCTAGAGGCTTGATCAGACCAATGGCGCGGTCTGCAGCCTTGGCACGAATAAACGGCATACTCTACAGCCTCGGGTGGGGTACCGCATTTTGTCACTCCTTCCGCATTGGAGGTGCTTCTTTCTTTCTCGCCAAAGGTGTCAGCCCGGAACTCATGCGGATCGCTGGACGGTGGCGCTCTCTAGCCTACGAGACCTACATTCGTGCCTTTGAACAAATCACATCCCGGCACATGTCTAACCTGCACAGCAGCGGCACAGCTACGACGTTGATGGTGGGGTGAGCGGCGCAAGGCTGCCGCGTTCGTCTACGCTGATGATGGTGGGTGTGTGTATCGCCTTGCCCCGCATCCGAACCTTCATTGGTTCTCACCCAACCTCTACGTAGCCAGAGCCGTCTTCCCTCGGGCGAAAGACGAGGCTGGACTGTTATTCCAGGGCATGGCCTCCCATTCTATAGCAGCCAGCGTGCCTTCAATCGCGCTTTGCAGCGTTGTCTGGTTGGCTTTGTGGTATATGCAGACTCAGCGGCAGACTCGGACTCGCCTGCATAGTGTGCCACCGGCTATGGCCACAAACAACCGCAAACAACTACACCGTGGGAAGGATGATTTCCCGCAGTCCTGAGACCTTGCTAGTCACAAGGTACTTTCATTGGGGGGGTTCTGTAGAAGTCAGATTTTTTACAGAACTCCAAAATCTCGAGAAGTATGCTACAAGGAGCTTAGCAGGTTGGTACGTATATGTATTATATACCATACAGATGGTCTGTGAAGAGGTCTGATGGCCACCTGATGTGTAGATCTGCCAGCCTACATGGCCCCAGCATATATGGGCTTGCCTGGAGAAAGTAGTTCCCGCATGTGTGAACATCCTGTGCCTACCTGATAATAGCTGCAGGCTTGTGAAGTGCTTGTATGGTAGATTTGACAGAACTCCACGGGCTCTAGGGTGTGACAGACACATGACAGATGCATGCGGATCGGATAGTGTTACCTGTGTGTGACATTTTTACATTACTCTCTGCCACCTTAGGCAGGAGTGATTTAATGACATAATAACTTAGATAGCCCATAAATGTGAAGGACTAAAAGGACTAGGTAGGCTTCATCTGTCGGATGCTTCTCCCTTTAATCCAAAATTAGATGTATTCAAATTGCATGAGAAATCCCTAACCTCTGCAGAGTATCACCAGAGGCTCTGGCCGACCATCTCGAGACCGCAGGGAGAGATACTAAATCATGTATTTTCTCCTACATAATGCTGCCTTGGTGCGTACTTTAAGCTTACTTGGTATACCTGACACAGCTCGGGATGAGGGATTAATTAAAGGATATTGGGATAGATGCCAATCCATCGTAATATAATATATATTAAATAGCCTGGACATCGTGCATCGGTACATACATCAATGCGCAATGTAACTGGAGCTAAATGCATTTAGTAGACTCTTTAAGACATATAGGAATACAAACGATGGTGCAAGAAATGGTTTTACCTCCATTTTCGTATTTAATGTAGTGGGAGATATGCGGCGGATATATCCCAGCGCTCCTCGGAGACGGCCGAGAGAGGCTGTCTGGCCAATGAGAGCTCGAATAGTAATAAGCACTAATTTGTTGATGTTATAACACCGCGGTTAGGCTTTACAGGGCATCTGGGGATATGTAGAAATGTATTTACAATGCCCCCGGATGCCTGCAATACATCCCGAGTGACATCTCCTGGGGTGATGAGGTGGCACTGCTTTCTGGCGCGTTTGCGCACTCGTTGTGCGTTAGGACTCGTAACCGAAGTGTAAATTGCGCTGTACTAAGTCTGTCCTGTCCCTGCTTTCCGGAGAATTTTGCGAATTGTTTGGAAATTGAAATTATACATCTTATGTGATGTTTTGCAGCATATCCAAGGGTTACTCATCACCTGTCGCGCTCACAATTGTGTGAAATAGCCATCACTGTTTCTCAGCCACCGAGGGAAATTACTATTATCCGTGTCTGGACTTACACGCGTCCCAGCAGCACACTGTCCGCTGTCTCGTATCGTTCCCGCTGCACAGTGTCACGGCGTTAGGGCCCGAGAGGCACGCGGCTTGCGCTGCTTTGCACTCGAGTAGCTGTATATACCCACAGGCGATACATTGATGCATGTATTCCCCCACATGAGGAGATTATCAAATATGTACTGTAGACTAATAATACTACCTAGATGAATATAAGATGACTGTGTACATGGGACAGCTGAGTGGCATTGCAAAGGGTGGCAAGCCATCAGGATTAGCGTCCACAACCAGGTCCCTGCCGAAAGAGGTAGGTGTCGGGACTGCCCATCAACGGCATCAAGATCACTCCCGTCCGACGCCCGACTCGGACAGATGCCGGGGCCATCCCCAAGACGTCTGCCAGACATCCCTCACTTCGGCCGCCTGTTGCGGGGTGCCTATGGCAGAAGAAACAAGGCTATGCCACCTAAACGACTCGATTTGTTGACCTGCCGCAGCCCAGGAAACAATATCGAGGATTTGTCCGCACACCATCACCAGAGCCTCTTAGGATGGCACGGATACCAGCCGATCGGGATGCTTGCTATTTAGGGACTCTATGGGGATACATCGGCCGGATGTGGTCTATCAGAGAGTTTGCGATGCAACACACCATACGAAATTGGCGTTGCGCGCACCACATGGGACATTGCGCAGCGCAGCGGAGAAGTAGACTGTGTCCTGAGGTCAAGTAACAAGGCATATCTTGCAGCTGAGTTGTGCGCTAGTTACTCCTGTCGTGTAGTGTCACTCTTCGTATCAAATGAAACTTTAGTCTCTATGAGTTGTCGGCCCGCTAGGTTTGGACAGCAGGATGCACATTGACTTGCACAGGCTTATCAATATGTTCCCACAGGGACCCCGGCGAGGAATATTTATGACTGGGTTGAACACTGCACATTGGCATACTGGGATGACAAGTATGTGCATGTAATCTTACAGTACATAGAAACTGTAGTGCGTGTTACAGTCCCCAGATGTTATCTTCAAATACATGAACAATGGTGTGCAGCTGTGTTTGCCTGCGCAACGTCCAGGGTGGCGCGCGCAATGCCACTTTCGCACGGTGTGTTGCATCGCAAACTCTCTATCTAATCCTTTACAGCCTTTTGCAGATCGATAGAGGACCAATTCAGAAAATCACGTATAGTCGGAGTGGGTGGCAGTGGGTCCCAGGGACGTTGGAAGAAGGTAGGGAAGTCCTGATGGTCTGATTTCCGTCTCTCAGGGACATACAATTGCTTGTCTGACGTGGTCCGACTGTAAATGATTTTTGAAAAGTGGGCCCATCAATCTGCAAACAGCTGTAAGTCCTTCACATTAAAGGTCTAGCTAAGGTATGATGTCATCGAATAGCATTCCAGGCGCATTTGCCACCTAATTCCCCGAACAATCATATTTTCTTTTTCGAGGCGTTAGCGGTCTGCTCGGCTTTTCACAATGCAGCACGACAAACCCCTCGGCCACCGAAGGTTTTCATTTTTACAGACAGCTCAAACACGGTGTCTATCTATGACACTCTCAGAGCGCTACCGGGCTACAATCACATCTTGATTTCGTCTGTCAACGTGATGTTGGACAACAATGTGGAGTGAAGGGTCGCACATATTCCAGGGGTTGAAAACAAGGTTGCTGATGCCCTCTCGCGTTTTGAGAATGACACCGCACTCCAATTAGTGCCCGGTCTCCAGATCTATACCTTTGGGATGCGCTGGGGGTAGCGCAACAATGATTGAAACTTCGCCAACGTCCAGGCAGCCGCTCCGAAAGGCCTGGACACTGGAGCAGCTCCGTTATGAACGCTCAATCGCCCTTGGTTTCTCTCTCGACGACAGCTCTAAGTTGTCGTACACATCTGCACTCAACTCCTATATCACATTCTGTAAAATGCACACGTTCCCCATCGAGCCAACTGAAGAAACACTCAGTTTCTACATCAGGAAAAAGACAATAAACATCATAGGACAATGTAGGTTCTATAGTGCTTGTAGATATTTTGGCAAACCCCTGTTTTGTAGACTTCAGTAGGTGGGCAAGGGCCCTCCATAGTGCTCCTGTAGGTCATAATAGCCACAGAGAATTTCATTATAGATAATAGTAGATGAAACCATCTGATATATAACCTCCATAACATGGATGCTCTGTAGGGCCACATAGCCTCCATAATACAATGAGCATCACATAGCGAGAACATTAGTTGTCAGACATGTACTCAGATTTCTATCTACTCATCATCCAAACTCTCTGGCAAGTTGTAGCCATCAGGACCGTTGCCAAGACGACCTTTCCAATCCTCCAGCACTGCACGGATTTCATCGTGGTTGATGAGAGGCTCCTCATCTCCTTTATCATCAGCAGGGGCACCGGCATGCTTTCTGGATGAAGGACATATGTCAGGCCACGAGACACTTTTGAATGCACCACACTCACCTGGCATTCATGAGTAGTTGCATACGAATATGCTTCAGGACGCGCAACTGGCGTGTATCCTTGCGAAACTTCTCCAAGCGACGCCAATGCTTCTCGAAGGCTTCCTTATAGGCGCGCTCGCTGAACTCGGATTGAACTCGTAGGCCAGTCGTCCATTCCTCGAGAACAGCTTGCACCTATTTCCAGCTTAAGTATGACATCATGTTTTGAAGATGAGTAAGACTCACCGCTGTGAGGACGAGTGCGATCGTCACGAGAGGGATACCGCGTTTGAAGCATTCGGAATAACGCACACCGGTATCGCGCTTATTATGAAACCATATATCATTGATAACATCCTGGATGATCGGGTGCTCATACATTCGCCACCGCGATTCTGGGTTCTACAGCTGGATATGAACTTGGATCGCCCAAGTGAACATTAAAGCAACTTACTAGATAGTAAAACGTCGGATCTGCCCCGACAAGCTTTGCAACCTTGTCCCGGTTCGCTCGCAAATCATCTTGACTGGTCCCCACGCGAAGGCCATATGCCTTGGGAACAGCGAGCTCAGCCCGATCCTTGAGTCTACCACGGATTTGGGAACCACGTTGGATGATCTGTGTTGTCATACATGAAGTGGAATAAGACAGCCGGATGATTAAGAGAAAGACGGAGACTTACAGTCTTCGCTAGCTCCTCTTCCAGTTCCATCTCCACACCCTTAGAACGACACGCCTTCACCCACGCTTGCCCCGCCCATTGTTGATCTTCATCTCCCGGGAATGGATACTCGGTCGAGACGCGCGCCCGGAAGTGACCCCAGGCGTCATCGAGAATCTTTCAGGTTAATAAGTCCCAATCCTTACCACGCGGCCTGCCGCGACTAGCCCCTGAGCGTATCTTCTGAGCCTTGACCACGCGGAGACCAGAAGGGCTGGATGAACGAGGTGGAGCTGACCGCTTGCGGTTCTCGGCTGGGGCAGGCTGGGCGTGGAGGTTGACATGATCCAAATCACGCAAAGTGCGAGCCGCAGATCCATCATTGTCGGACACATTCGGATCTTCGGTTTCCATCCGATGGTGGGCGTCAGGGGATATCTCCGCGGTCGCCATGTCCGGCAACAGAGAGCGAGGGTGCGGAGTAGAAGGTTGGCTTTCAAATGGATCAGGCAACAAGAGGACTTGGTGGTGCCGACGAGGAGGTCGCAGCTGCGGTTCCTCATCTGGGTCACCATCCTCGTCCTGAGCATCATATGACTCGGTGGCTTTCGAGGCGGAACTGTATCTGGATGTAAACTTGTCACGGAAACGTGACAGGATAGTATAGAACATACCTCTCGTTATCGCTTCCCGTACCATCAAAGAGCGGTTGTTGAGAAGACGAGTGATGGCGAGGAGGCATACTGGTATGAGCCACAGATGGGGGAATGTGACCCGCTCGACGGATGAGTTTCTTTCCAGGTACCTGACCCGCAGCTGTCTAGTCCTGTCAAGAGTTACAAATCAGCATTAGCGCTTTGGAATCTGACAATCAAACTTACGGCACGTCCTCCTTGTTTTAAAGGTTGGTTCTCTTTACCCGCACGGCGGCATACCGACTGAGACTTCGGCTCTATCCTTCGGACGGTGAACTGCAGTGCAAGCGTTAGGATGCCATTTAGATATTTCCAAGTCTTATGATACAGTTACCATGCTCTCGGGGTTTGGTATATCAATGTCCTCTTCTTCCGACTCAGGTGCTGGACATGACAGGCAAACATAAGCATAAGCATACTCGAATGGAGAGGCATCCGTACACAGATCCTCATAATCCCTGAATCCGTTCGCTTCCTCTCTGGCCTGGCGTTTACGTAGCTGAGCCTGCCCAATGCGAGCCTGTTTCTGCAAATTCTGGATTTTAGAATCCCAGTCTGGAGCCTGGTCAGCAACACTATCAAGTATTTTAAGGTTCGCACATCCTCACCGTTCTCAGACTGCTTCGCCGATGCTTTGTGGGGCCGTTTACCGAGCCCTCGTGAAGCACCAGCATCCTGCAGTAGTGAGTCAAGCTCAGAGCGCCGTTTCTTATTATGAGACATGGAAAACAAGGGACTTGCAGGCAATGTGCTGTTGGAAAGGTACGTCACTTTATAATCCGGCGATTATGCAGCAAACAGTTTCTAGAACTTACCGGTGCTCAGCCGGTGCCAATGCGATGGCAACGTCGCTTACGATGCAATTCGCACACCGCGCACAATGCGCATGCCAGCGGCCGCCGGCAGCGCGGTCGGAAAGCACCGAAAGCACCGACGAACTTGATCCTGACAGCACCGGGGAGCTAACCAACATGTCCCTTCGATAATGCCAGCTTGCACATTTTGTGGAAAACACGTACCGACTACCAGTGGCCTGAAGCGGCACATCCAACGGACAAAGGACTGCCATCAGCAATGGCTCGCGAAGCTGAAGACCTTCACTATTGCAGACTACGGCAACAATGGGGATAGCGACAATGAAAGCGTATACGAAGACGACTTACCTGATGAACAGGCATCGAGCAGTCACTCTACGACTGGGCTAGATCAGCTCGGTAGTCCGCTCCTGCCTGTACCTCCCAATAGCACCATTGCAAGCAGCGCTGATGGACTGCATCCACCTGAACCAGAGGCGGAAGACAGCGAGCCAGTGACTGGGAGGGAGCGCTTTGTTGAGGGCTTTCCTGGGATTGCTGGGCAAGGATTGAGGCGGGAGGAAACGAGATTTGACAAGCTTCGAAGGACGCAGGAGGAGCGGCGGCAAGCGGTTTGGGACCCTTTTGTAGACGAGGAGGAGTGGGAATTGGCCCGTTGGTTGGCGAAGAACGTGGGGCAGAATCAGATAGATGAATTCCTGAAGCTGTCAATAGTAAGTGCTGCCATGTGATGCATATCTGATGGCTCTCACCAGTGTCATTCTTATGTTAGACGCGGAATCGCACGAAGCCATCCTACAAAAACAAGCAGAGTCTGAACGACAAGATCGATGCGTTACCTGCAACCGGCGCTCCATGGGTACAAGAGATCATAACCATTGCAGGTGATCAGTTTGGAGAGGATGGAAGGCTGATGGAAGAAGAGGTGGAGCTATGGTACCAGGACCCTGTAGAATGCATACACGAGTTAATGGGGAATCCCGCATTCTCAGGAAAGCAGGCATACGCACCGGAACGTGTATATGCTGATGCTGCGGGGCGGAACCGGATGTATGATGAAATGTGGACAGGTGATTGGTGGTGGGACGTACAGGTAAGTATATTCATAATTCGAGGAATGGAAATTGAGGGACTTACATGGGAACGTTTGCTATAGTCGAAGCTTCCTCCTGGCGCGACAGTAGCGCCGGTTATTCTGGCTTCGGACAAGACCCAGTTATCAAGGCATCGGGGCGATAAAGAGGCCTGGCCGGTATATCTAACAATAGGGAACATCGAGAAAGCAACTCGGCGGCTCCCTTCGTCACATGCAATGATATTGATTGGATACTTGCCTGTGGCAGAACTCGCCTGCATCTCTGAGAAAGCAAGGTCGGCCGTCGGGTACAAACTATACCACTTCTGCATGCGGCGGATTCTTGAATCCCTTGTCAAAGCAGGTTCGGAGGGCGTTGAGATGGTCTGCGCAGATCGCTGGGTGCGATTGGTGTTCCCGATCTTGGCTGCGTACGTTGCAGATCACCCCGAGCGCTGCTTAATCGCATGCTGCAAACAGAATCGATGCCCGCAGTGCCTCGTTGACGCAACGGAACTAGGGGAACTGCTTGACGGCTTACGCTATCGTGATGCTCAGCGGACCAAGAAGATCCTCGAGCATAAAGCTACTGGTCGCCGCGTTCGAGCCTACCTGGAGGAAGGTCTACGCCCTGTCGATAAACCGTGTTGGACCGATCTCCCGCACACCGATATCCACCGCTGCTTTATGCCTGATCTCCTCCATCAGGTGCACAAGGGTATCATCAAAGACCATCTTGTCCAGTGGTGCATCCGCATCGCGGGCAAAGAAGAAGTGGATGCTCGCTTCAGTCGTATGACCGATCATCCCGACATTCGTCACTTCACGCATGGTATCTCGGGAATCTCGCAGTGGACTGGGACCGAATCCCGCGAGCTCAAAAAGGTGCTGATAGGTGTGGTCAATGGTGCAGTCCAGCCGGCTGTTGCCAAAGCAGCTCAAGCCCTGCTTGATTTTTCGTATTATGCACAATTTCACACCCACACTGACGAGACACTAGACTTGCTTCAAGCTGCTCTTCGTGAATTCCATGAATATAAGGATATCTTTCTTCAGTCTGGCACGAGGGACGATTTCAACTTTCCAAAAATGCATGCGATACTGCACTACATCGACTCCATCAGGTCCCGTGGGTCTGCAGACGGATACAGCACCGAGCTTCCCGAACGCCTACATATCAACTTCGCCAAAGCTGCCTATCGCGCCACGAACAAGCGGGAGTATACCGAACAAATGACGCGGTGGCTCGATCGGCAGGAATAGTGCGTTTACTACGTACTTGGATTGGCGGCGTGCCGAAGCAGCATCTGAACAAGTCGTCCCGGCGGATAACGCAGATTCGAACTCAGACGACGAAGACGATACGCAGCCAGCATCGGGTCAGCAGCCGTCCGGTCGCCTCATCCTTCCTCGCAAGCCAACATTTCCACAGATGAAATCTTCAGAGATCATTGAGGACCTCAAAGCAACCCAGTTTCTGCCTGCCCTAACTGAATACCTGCAGAAAACCGGCCCTTCCAACCACCCAATTCTCGCGCCGACTGTTGCGGACCGCTTCGATGTGTACAAGCAAGTGAAAATCCGGCGCCCCGACCTTCTTGTGCTAGAACCAAATCAAGCAAGTGATCGCATTCGTGCATCTCCCGCTTCAAAGGGAAGACCCGGTCGGTCTGGTACTCCCTCTCGTGCCGACACGGCACTCGTTCTGGCGAATGAAGCCAGCAATGTCTCTGATTTGACCGCGCTTCGCGTTGCTCAGGTGCGAGTGATCTTTGCACTACCTTCTCATCTCAGAGTTTGCCCTCGATAAGCTCAAGCACTTGCGTATGTTGAGTGGTTCACTCCTCTCCGACGCTCGAACGACTCCGGCCGGGGCCTTTTCACAGTATCGCGGGCATCTCGCAATCACTTGCCACATGCTGAAGTCATCCCGTTGGATCGCGTTGTGCGGAGCTGTCACCTATTGCCAAAGTTCGGCACGAAAGTTCCTGCTGAGTGGATTTCTGACAGGATTCTGGATCAAAGTCGAGTATTTTATCTGAATATATGGGCTGATCTATTCATGTTTTGCTTAGTACGGCTGTTATGGCACTGATATGCTTTGATGATCCCATATGGGTTGCGGTAGAGTTTAGTAGCATATGTACTAGACTAGCATGAATATATATTACTTTGCTCTACCGTTTGAAGTCTACGCCGTCCTCTAGAGAGCATGCTTTGGCCTACGGTGCCTACAAATAGCTACAAGGATACTTGACGCGCATACATACATCACAGTAGTACTCATAGACTAAATGCAATCCTCCCAACAAAGTTGAGGACGCGGGGCCCGTAAAAGGAAGGTCGAGGCCATCGTGAAGTGACTGCACAGACGGCTGTGCGGCAAGTCTGCGCAGTGCCTATGTTGCGTTCCCACGGTCTCTGGCCATTTGAATCCGAGTCTCGACACCAGAACGATGCATATACATATGTAGAGTACGTAGGGAGGTATACGAAGTATTTTATGTGATATGTACTGAGAATTACAATCTCGTTGGGATAAAAAAGTGGTGCGCAGCAGGCGGCAGATGTGACTCTTGACACACTGATATCAAAGTTTTTCTCCTGCCCTAACTACATGCTTGTCAGCATAATATCAGGATGGTGTGGAGTGTATTGTAAGTTCTGATGAAATACATTGAAGCCCCAAGAGTAAGGAGTTTAATTTACAAGTGATGCATACATCTTGACAATCTCTCGGAAAAAAAATGGTGCCTAAAACACACGGCTAGGGAATCGAACCTGCGGGCTCGAGCATCAGGCAATCCAATCCCTACAAGGCACTTACCATCTACACTACAAGAATATATCATATAAAGATGTCCAATTTTATATATCGCACACAGTGTCTACTGTTATCTATATACGGCCAGGCATAGGCTAACCCCCGCGCTGCCCTGCGGAGTGACGCTTCGCGCTGCGCGGGGCCCCGTTACGTAATGCGCGTCCTCAGGTTTGTTGGGAGGATTGCATTTCGTGTACTCATAGTCAAGGCCATGACTATGTAATATATCTGTTTTCCTGATGTATGTCACGTACATGTCCGCCCACATTGAACCCCGCTCTGTCGACTCATACCTTTCCGGAATATGCAGCGGCTTGGAGTCTTACTTTCCTCACGTTCGCGAAGCCCGCAAAAGTCGTCTTGTATCGAGAACTTTGCGTGGGTGCAAACGGCGCTACAGCCAACCTGTCTCGCGAGCCCAACCTATGTCTGTGGACGACCTCGGCACCATCCACGATGCCCTTCACTCTTCAACCTCGCATGACGACAAACTATTCCTAGCACTCGTCTTCACCGGCTTTTATGCATTGATGCGCCTAGGGGAACTCGTCCACTCCGACAATCCTGTGCTGCGCGACCCGCGAAAGCTTACGCTCCGCGACAACGTCACATACCACCGCAGTCACTATCAATTCACCCTACCAACACATAAAGCTGATCTTTTTGAGAGTAATTCCATCCTCATACGAGCCCAGTCGAACAGACCAGACCCGGTGAGAGTATTCACGTCCTACATCTCCTCTCGAGATGCCCTAGCTGGTTTTCGACCCCAACTTTGGCTACGTGAAGATGGGTCGGTCCCGACACGAGAATGGTTCATGCGTAGGCTCCGACGTTTTCGACCAAAGTTGACCGGCCATTCCATGCGCTGCGGCGGTACGACTTTCCTAGCAATGACTGGAGTCACACCGGAAAATATTCGTCGGATGGGCCGCTGGTCCTCGAATGCCTGGGAGATCTATGTCCGAAAGCATCCTGTAATCTTACAGGCTTTTGTCTTCGGCGGTCAGGCAACCGGAGATCCTACGGCAGCATGACCACTCGATTCCTTCAGGCATGCACTTCTTGTGCCCCGTGCCTGCTATGTGTGTTCCAATAATGGCATGCACTTCATGTGCCCTGTGCCCACCCGTTTCTTTACTTTGCCCTTCGCGTCGTGTGTTTGTACAGGTCTGTTGCCCAGCTCCCTCTTCACTGCTGTCTATCGTGATTATACTCCTTTTTGAGTCTGTATTCTTCAAATCCTGTTTCACATCTCTGTTGTTGTATGTACTTGTTCGTCTATCAGCACTGGCATTGAGCATGTCTGTATGCGCCTGAAGCCTCCTTTGATTATTTTTCCCTACATCATATTCTTTCTTTTCTTTTCTACCTCATTACCCTATTACCAGTCATCGGGAAAAAATCAAAGATGGGTGGTCCCTGCACCGCAGGGACCACTGCTTTCGGCTAACCAGATCGTGCCTTTACGAGGCGACGAGGATTAGAGCTCTCATTGGCCAGACAGCCTCTCTCGGCCGTCTCCGAGGAGCGCTGGGATATATCCGCCGCATATCTCCCACTACATTAAATACGAAAATGGAGGTAAAACCATTTCTTGCACCATCGTTTGTATTCCTATATGTCTTAAAGAGTCTACTAAATGCATTTAGCTCCAGTTACATTGCGCATTGATGTATGTACCGATGCACGATGTCCAGGCTATTTAATATATATTATATGACGATGGATTGGCATCTATCCCAATATCCTTTAATTAATCCCTCATCCCGAGCTGTGTCAGGTATACCAAGTAAGCTTAAAGTACGCACCAAGGCAGCATTATGTAGGAGAAAATACATGATTTAGTATCTCTCCCTGCGGTCTCGAGATGGTCGGCCAGAGCCTCTGGTGATACTCTGCAGAGGTTAGGGATTTCTCACGCAATTCGAATACATCTAATTTTGGATTAAAGGGAGCAGCATCCGACAGATGAAGCCTACCTAGTCCTTTTAGTCCTTCACATTTATGGGCTATCTAAGTTATTATGTCATCAAATCGCTCCTGCCTAAGGTGAGTTTTTCCGACACGCCGCACGACGGTCGGGCGGATCAACCCGGCCCGCCGTACAGCGAGTCCGCGGAGTAGCCGTCACAGACCGCAATTCTAAGCTTCCGCCGGGCGCTGTGGCTGCAAACTTGGGAAGTATTCGGCGCTGCGCGGCACGCCAGGTCCGATTCCTCGTAAGGTAAACGAGTGGCAAGGGTTCTACAAGTAGGTAAATAGTCTCTAGCCTCCCGGGCACTGCGCGGCATCAAGAATACTCCTAGTTATTATATGTTGATCTCAGTGATACTAAATCATATAAGTTCGTAACTCTCAAACATAACTGTGTGTGGCTAGAACCTTCAATCATCCTATACTCGGTGTCAAGTACAGTTATTTCAATACACAATACACTATTTACTTCAGTACTACACTCGGGTAGCATTACTATCGAGTCAGTGCACATGCATACTGTAGCTGAGATGCACGTCGTCAGGCTGAGGCCTCAATGCTGCCAGTACTATGCCTCGTATGTAACTTACCAATCTTGTGCCATAGGCAGCAGGGTACTTGCCATTGGCGCAATTCCACTCACAGCCGGGGGATGCCTGACAGTGCCATTGGCCCGAGATCTTGAAAGGATCGTGCCGCGCAGAGACCACACTACATATCTGGAATTAGTCCCTATTCACAAACGGTAATTATTGACATGAGAGGTAATAGCTCCTATTTGCTGATGGTGGTAAGATTTGGATCGGTGGACCTTCCATTTAAGGAGGGTGCTCCCGTTACAGTTAAGGTAATTTGGGCTATAAGGGGTATACCCCCTGTTCAACGCTGGCAATTTTCGATCACCAGAGAGCCCTATACAACGACTGAACAGTAAACCGATTCTAGGGGAATCGGAATTCTAGGGGAATCGGAATGGTCGGAACCCTCGCACCGCGCGTACGACAAGGTCAGGGCGAACGGTTTGCCCACCGGCGAACAACGAAGTCATAAATATATGCAAGACGTCATATCTTCCAATCTCTGAAGAAGTCATAATCGAACCGCACGAACGAAAGCATGTAGTCCACGGTCGTGCCCTCGTCCTCTACCTCCTCTGCTTCTTCCACTTCCACCTCTCCCTCGCGAGCACCGTGAAGAGGGGAGGCCTTGGCAGGGGGACCCGTGCTGGTACCGGCATCCGTCGTCTCAAAGTCCGCCTCGTCTGCACCGGTCATCTCAATCTCCTCTCTTGCCGCGACATGCGCCGCCCTGCGATCCTCGACGTCCTCGAGCTCACCCATTGCCCTCGTCAAAGCCGTCTCATCCTTCCCGTCCTCTTCAAACAGCCTCCGCCAGTCGAATTCACCCTTTTGAATAACAAGGTCGTCCAGATTACGCTTCTGGTTCGCCTTGCGCAGGAGTGCCTCCTCCACTGTGTGCTCCGAGATGAATCGAAAGATGTGCACGTCTCGGATCTGGCCTATGCGATGAGCACGATCTTCACATTGGCGGTCCATCTGAGGGTTGAAATCGCTGTCGTAGAAGATCACGGTATCGGCGCCTGTAAGGCTAAGGAGACGAGCGGTCAATGGCCTGAACATCACTATACTGATAATCACATACTTTATGCCTACGCCACCAGAACGAGATGAAGAAATGAAGCATAATATCCGAGGGTCAGCGTTGAAGCGTTCAGTGATGTACTGACGATCCTCGATTTTCGTGGCCCCATCTAGTCGAAGGTACAAGTACCCATGTAGGTTCAAGAAAATCTCCAGGATGTCGAGAATCCTCGTCATCTGGGTGAAGATCAGACAACGGTGACCACCAGCCTTCCTCTCCTTCAGCAATTCGCTCAGCTTCTGCAGCTTCCCACAATCGTACTGCAGGAGAGCAGGGTCTGGGAACGCAATCTGCAACTTCACCGCGGCTCTGTGGAGTGAACCGTCGAATTCGATGTCGCCCGAGAATGCCTCGACAGCCTCTTCGCTGCCAGATAGAGTTATACGAGGTAGATCGAGGGCAACCGCGGCTGGCGTCACAAAGGCGAAACGATCCACGACACCAGTCATATCTCCAGAGCGGTCCCTGTATGATTTCACAGCAGCGTTCACAGGATTGGGTGTATCGGGGAACACGTTCCGCCGGTCTAGACAGGACAGAGGTACAATCGGCAGATACATGCCGCCTAGGACATTGAGGAGCTCCGAGCTATAGATTGGGAGGGGAGCACACCGTAGGCGATTGAGATATGCGATGTGCGTCCAGCGACCTATTTGGGCGGCTCTGTGCTGGTACGCCCTGTACCGTTTCCAGCCCGCTATTGTACGAGTATCCTTCGGAGGAGGCTCTCCGGGTAATTCAGTGATTAGTGGCAGCCGCGATGTCCCATCCAGTCGTCTGGTTGCCAGTGCCGCCAGCACAGAGCAGTTTTGGTGCTGTATGAACTCAAGGCCCAGAAGATTCATGTTCAACTTCTCCTCGTCAGCTTCGGCTAGAAGGCGCCGACGCAGAAGAAGCTCTTTGACTTCGAAGCCGCTGATGGCAGACCGAGGCATAGCAAAAGAAGTAACGATCGATCGCACCTCGAACAGGTCTGGATGATTACAGACTTTGCGTAGTTGCATTAGGATGTTCGCGATCTTCTGGTACACCCCCGACTGTAAGTCATCACGCGTCTGTCGTCGAGACATGAATTCGTCATACAGAAAGCGCTGCCGTTTGGACAGTGGACAAAGAACAACATGCTCATACTTGCTAGGGAGTTCTTTTTCGACATCTCGTTTGAGGCGCCGAAGGAGGTAAGGTCGCAAAACGGTGTGCAACTTGGCTACACGCTGTTGTGTTTCCTCATCGATAGCATTACCAGCTTCTACAGCTTTTTCCAAAGGATCTGTATGCCGGACGTAAGGCACCTGGTTGATGATCATGAGAGAAGGACTCACTTGCGAACCATTCGCTGAATTCTCGCACATTAGCGAAATCGGTTCCCGACATCAGGAATTGGAGGAGTGCCCAAAGCTCAGTGAGATTATTTTGTAAGGGCGTACCAGTGAGTAAGAGGCGACGAAAGGAGCGGAACATCAGAAGGATATTCCACCTCTGAGACTTGAAGTTCTTGATCATATGTGCTTCGTCCAGTATCATGTAATACCATGGCTTGCGCTTGAAAATATGGGCGTCTCTGCTGGCCAGAGTGTACGAGGTTATGCAAACATTAAAATGATATTTATTACTCCAGCCTTGACGCAGCTCCTTGCGACGCTTAGTCGGCCCGTGGTAACTCAGGACCTTGAAGCCAGGCAAGAATTTCTTAAATTCCATTTCCCAGTTCAATATAACACTGGTGGGGACGATGATGAGATGTGGTCCCCATATGCCGCGATCGCAAGCAAGGTGAGCTAGCAAAGCAATGGTCTGAATTGTCTTCCTGTACCAGGAACGTCAGTTCAATAAGTGAGGAATGACAGGACATCCTAGACGCACCCCAGGCCCATCTCGTCGGCGAGGATGCCATTCAGATGGCTCGTATGAAGACTGGCGAGCCATTCCAAACCAGCTTGTTGGTATGGGCGGAGCACGCCGCGTAACAGTAAGGGTGGTTTGATCCTGTCTTGAGGATCCCAATCCACGGGCGCGACAGCAAAAGGACGTAGATACGCCGGCACGCGCGCATCCTCCTCACTGTTGTTTTCGTCACCATATTCCTCGTCGGTACCGGGTTCCTCCATGGAGCCAGGAGGTACAGAATCGTATACAGGTGCTTCAGGCTTGGAAGGAACTTCCGACTGAAATACCTCAGAGAATGCAAGGCCGCTGTCCGTATTGCGCGGTGAGAGAACTTCTTGGGTCGTGATTACGTCCTCTTCTGCAATTTTGGTCTCTTCTCCAAGTGTTGACAATACATTATCGTGCGCAGCGTCCTGGAGCGTGGACCATTTCAGTTCATGGGAGATGTCCTTAATTAGGTCTGGCGACTGGGATGAAGCTTCGGATTGTATAGCATCGGGTTGAGTAGCATCCTCAATTGCTATGTCCGCATGCTGGACACTGATAACTTCTTTCGAAATGGCTTCGGAGCCGTCCGCATTTCCTGGTGGTTGTGGTGGAGATTGGGAGGATGGATTCCGATGGTCGACCAATCGGACAGCTTTCCGAGGCACAGGCGAACGTGAGTGGTCCCGGCGTGGTATATTATCAGCCTCCTTGAATAACTGGCGCTCAATATACGAGACGTGGTCTTGAACGTAGTCAAACGTAGGCATGTCTGGAGGCTTCAAAGGCAAATTTACGGCCATGGGGGACTCGACGAGGATGGTAGATGCTTCTGGCGCATCGTCAGAATCTTGGAGGAAGTCTGGAGACTGAGAGGCGGTGGTCTCGGATGCCGAGCGGGGTACGGACCAAGCTTCGGTGTTAAGTAGGGCGCTTGTATCGAGCTGCGACGCATCCTCCCCCTCAGCAGGATCATCTTCACTATCTTCTTCCAAGTCCGAAGCTTGCATCTCCTCGCCCTGGTCGCTCTGTTCGATTTCGTCTCTATCCATGTCAACATCCTGGTGGGACCCAGAGAAAATGCTGTTCGAGCGACTGCCAGAGCGAGCAGACTCAGCCCTAGCAAGGTCGCCATGCTGAGCCTCAAGGATTTGACCCGACTGGTCAAGAATGGCGTCTAGATGTTCCCGGCCACGGCGCCTCTCCTCTTCTTCAAGGCGAAGTCGCTCTTGCTCGCGAATATGCTACATCCACGATAATTAGAGCTCAGCACTTGCTAAAAACACTCAGGGATTCGAGGACGCACAAATACAGCCTTCTTCCACTCGGCAGTGACCATCCGGATAGTCGCCTTAGCCAGAGCGCGCAGGCGCTTTTCCTCCTGGGCCCGCACCTTGTCGTCTCGCATACTCTGGCCCTCCCAATAAGCCCTAATCCTGCTCGCGATCTGGCCAGCGATATGCTGGCCGCTAGGATACCGGCGGCGACTACTGTGGCTGATGGTGCTGACGATATGACTCCATGGATCATCGGAATGGGAAGGTTGCATTCGTCCGCCACCCAGGTGCCTTATATCCATATCTACCACCTTACCTTCCTTGCGAAGCGTATCGTACTTAGACCACAGTCGCGCGTCTCGGGATGCCATCCTATGCAGTCTCTCAGAATCGACGTCACCTTGCTCCAGCATCGAGTAAGATGTGAGGAAGGACGACAACGACTTCCCATGAGGTGCAGGCGGGGGTCGTTGCCGCGGATTGGTTAGCGTAGGCGGCGGTTTCCGCACGATGAGGGTTACGCGACGGGCTAGAGAAGGCTTGCTCGTGTCCAGCGCAGTCGTGGAGTGTCGTGCTCGGAGAGTCCTCGAACCTACAGTACTCGACGCCAGGGATCCTTCTGTGGTGTCTATTTCATGACTCTGCAATCCATGAGATGCACGAGGCCGGCCAGCACGCTTTGTTGTTGGGGCACCTGGAGGCGGCATATCTTGATTTGAAGTCGCGCTAGACACGGTGCTCTCATCCGTCCACGACTGAGAAGTTGGAAGCATAGGCTCCGTCTTCCGCCGCTTGCGAGGATGTTTCGAGAAAGCATCACCACTGCTTTCATCCAGCGTAGACCTTTTCACGGCAGGGGATACAATGCTCTTCTCCCCGGTCTTCTTTTTAGACGGGCGATAGACAGTCACGATACTCTCGGGCTCCTCGGCTTCATCTTGTCTGCCCTTACCCTTCGCTGGTGAAGACAAAGGGGTGCCATCAGATGCTTTGCCTTTGCCTTTAGCCTTACGAGATGCCAGAATATCCCAGATTACCGCGTCATCACCTTTGGGGGCGGGTGTTCTCGATTTCTTCGATTGAGCGGTCTGCCTCTTGATAGGAGATGTTGAAGTGGGAGTGGATGGACCCGCCGCGCCGGTGAGATAGTCGAACCTCTCCGAGTGCGCTCTCCGCGTCTTTCTCGAGGAGCCTGACGCGGTCGCGGCCTTGTCCAACAAATCATACTGCGCTTTGTACTAAGGTCCAAACGCGTTATTGTTACGCGCGATGGTACGCGGGCAGCGTCACGCACCTCTCGGAACACATTCGAATTGTCCTCTTTTGCAACCTAGAGAGACGCACATGCCTGAGTTGGCACTCATGCCACGCGTGGAGCTGACAGGATGGATGTACCTGAGGATCATAGGAGAGGAGCGACACGAACTTCTCCAGGTGGAACGCTTCTCGGACCTGCGGGAGCGCTCTTTATTGCACAAAGACTTGAGACAGCATCCCATGTCAGCTTACCAGCGTATCATGCCTGTCGAAAACAGACTCAAGCTGCGCCTGTCTCTCCTGCACCAAAGCGACTCGCCGTGCCTCCACGCTCTCATCGACCATACGCTCCGGACTAGCCACAGACGCACGCTTCTTCCCCTTCATATTGTATGCGTTCCAAGTTCAAACCAAATATATTCAAGACCACTCGCGGCCTAGTCAAACCATGAGACGAACGCCTCCCGGTGGGTATGCGGTAAGCGGAACTTGAGGCGTCCACAATCAATCTCGCCCAATCTCGCACGGTTCGAAGAGATTCTTGGTGCGCAGAACAGCCAGAGCGGGCAGTACACCAGAGTTTCAGCCGTGCAGCGCGAATCGGCAGCCCCGTCCTCGCCGTGCGATGAAAGCCCCGGGGCGACATGCATTTTCGCATTTAGACGTGATTCCGTTGTTTGGCCGCGCGTGCCATCCACCCCGCAGTGTGAAGTCGAGTATACATAGCTCGCGTTCGCGCCCATAACACAACGCGTGTTTTCACCTCATTTTGGAAGACTGGATCGAATGCTTATGCTGGAAGGATCAGGAAAGCGTTTGCAAAGTATTTACTGCACTATGTATACTGTAATGTAGTCCGTGTACACCTGCCCCCCTGCCGCAGGCTTTTGACGAGTCCCAGACTCGCGCGCACCCGCCACCTCCATCTACACCTTGCGCTATTATGCGGGCAGCTCAAATTTCTGGCCTTGTAACACTCTGCAAGTGCGGGTGATAGGAGTCAGATGCGAGTACCAGGAGGCGTTTTCTGGGATGATACGCACTTCGTAAAGTAGACGTAAAAGAAGTCTAAATAAAGTCCGGTCTGGACTAAACCTGCCGTGACTGAGATCGGGTCGACGTAGCCTTCGGAGAAGTACCTGTGCGAAAGAAAGACGAAGTTGCGAGAATGAGTGACAAGGCGCGGTATGGTCATGGCATAAAGCGTCCCAGCCATTTGGCTTAGCATACTCACCGGTAGATCCAATTGGGAATGTACAAGGCCCGGTATGCACCTAAAGCAGCCAAGTAATGCGTCGTAATCGTTTCTGCCTCTCCAGTCCGCTGCAGCATAAACAGCTGCGGTAGGATAGCGACGGATTCCAGGAATATCGAAAAGGACCATAACAACTCGGTTGGGTTGTATCCGTAGTTGAAGATCAGAGCGAGGACAACACAAGGGCCGACGAGGTATTCCAACCGAAACGTGTCAATGGAGGGGTCGTTGGTTGGTCTGGAGTTTCATACGAAGCAGGTGGCGGCAAGATCAAGGAATGTATTGAGTACAACGATACAATGCGAGAGTGAAGCGCAACGCACCGGTATCTAACTCTCATCAGGTACAAAATGTAGCAGCTGCTCGCAATGAAGAAGATCTTCATGACCGTGTTGTACAGTGAGACGTAGGACGTGAACAGGTCGAGGTACCGCGTGACGAAGACGGTGACATATAGCGCCTGCGTTTTGAACGAGATACCTGCCCGCACCCAAAGCACCATATGTTGGGACTTCATTAAGCACTCTTCTCGAAAGGACAGTGCTGACCTCGACATGATCGTGTTGTCGTGATTTTATGTATGAGGATGAATATCGACGCCAGATGCGACAAGTCGCCTACATCACACCAGACAAATTCATGTCAGCTTACGTAGAGTCAAACCAAACTCAAACACGTACCAAAAAACCTGAAAATATTCATGACTGCTCGTCGACGTCGTCGGCAGCGTTTAGGGCAGCAAGGTGGTCGTTGGCAAAGACGGTGAGCAGCGCGACGTGTTCCCCAGCGTGGGAATGTCTACTTCATACCAATGCTCGGATGTTGTTCTGCCGAGATGCTGAAATAGCACCCGGTAATTGCTGGCGCGTTGGCGTTGGTCGCGTCTTGATTCCAGTTGCTGGCTTGCATTCCGTTCGTTCCTTGCCGTCTGACCAGCCAGAAACATGCTTTGTCGATTACTTCTATATGTTGGCCTGCTTGCAGGCGGGGCTCTGGCAGCATGGGAGGACAACACGAAGATGGCGAATAGGACTATTGAGAGGGTGAGTCGGCTTCATTCTGGACTAGGGCTGGTCGTGGAAGGGAGGATGTAAGACTGTGAAATGCGGAAAGGTAGAGAATGAACTGTTCTATCAGCGCCGAATGAGCGAGGGTGTACGAGATGACACGCCAGTACGGTGGTCATCCGGCAGATAGCTTTCTAAGACAGTGCTGTCGTATGGAAGGCAGCCGTACTGGATGACTACGGCCATTCCTAAGTACTAGCTCCACTATGCGGTGTGGAACGAGAGTACTGGTCTACCAAGGAGGAGGGAGAGGGTATTCACCTTTCAAATCCAGCCCGTCACCTCGATCTACTTCTAATTATCCACATGCAGACTGTGAACCTGCGCACCCACTCCATCTACCCTCCATATATTGACCAAGACTTGCAAAATCGGTCTGTAATTTTGTTTCCCGCCTGACATGTCTAATAGCTCATCCTCCTCAATGTAGATGGTGGGACTTCGGCGCAGATGCCATCGTCGTGTGTATCCTCTACGCTACATAGTGCAAGGACGACATCTAACCTCCCACAGAACACTAACAAGCACATACGCCTCACGCGTAACCGCCCTTCAGAAATGGGCTGGTTGTGGACGCGACTGCCTCTGACCACCTCCAACTTCGTCATCGAAGTCGAATTCAAAGTGAGCGCGATGCTGTTCCAAATTGTGTCAACTTCCAGTCACCTGTGATCTGCAGGTATCCGGGGAATCGAATCATCTCTTTGGTGACGGTATGGCCGTGTGGCTAACAAAAGACCGCGCACAGCCAGGTCCCGTCTTCGGGAGTATCGGTGGGTAGCCATTCCCTGTACCGGTTGATTCGTGCTCACTACGACCATCAAGACAAGTTTGAGGGCCTTGGGATCTTCCTGGATACGTAAGGCAGGCGATCCCAGTGCTGGAATACGTTGCTAAGTGCTTGAGCTTCATTCAGGTACGCTAATGCTCGCCATTCATATTCATTCCCTCGCATCGTCGCGATGCTTGGAGATGGGAAGACCGAATATGACCACGACAATGACGGCGAATCGACTAATATCGGCGCCTGCTCTGTGAGTACCCCCTTCAACCCGTAGAGTGAGTCGCGCGTGCTCAACTTTGGTTGACACTGTAGGCTAGTTATCGCTTGACGAACATCGTTCCGAGGCTCAGGATCACCTACTTCAAGGAGGAGGGGTATCTTGATGTTCGTCCCCGTGAATCCGAGTTTTATTGCAGCTGACCCGTTCTCGCGTCTTGCAGGTTAAGAGTCAATACAGAGCTTGTCTGTGGCTGTATTTGTCTGTGAAGTGAGATACCTGACAAGTCGTTAACAGGGGGCGAATGGACGGATTGCTTCTCACTAACGGGTGTCCGCCTGCCACAAGCGCCCTTCCTCGGCTTCTCCGCCCTAACCGGGGCAGTCTCCGACAACCACGAGTACGCACCCCCTTCGCTTAGCCTCAATCCCCTCACCGCTTACTCCCATTCTCGTACTTCAGCATCATCTCCGTATCGACCTACTCCGCAATCCTCTCCCCCAAAGATGCGCCGCGCGACAAGCTGCGCACGAAGCTCTGGGGCGGCAGCTCGTCGCGCACGGGTGAGGGTGGCTCGTGGACGTGGTTCTTCCTCAAGCTCTTCCTGTTCGCGGGCGTGTGCGCGGGCGGGTGGTTCGGCTACCAGGAGTACCAGCGGCGGCAGCGGTATGGTGGGGGCGGCGGCTTCGGCATGGGCGGCGCCGGGGGGATGTTTGGGGGAAGGAATGGGTTCGGCGGGGTGTTTTATGATAGCAAGAGGTTCTGAGCTGGTCTCGGGAGTGTGGACACAGGGTTGTATATATGACTGTTTTCTGATGCTACACAAAATGTTTATTTGGCTTCCCCTGACTCTCGACAAACTTTCTTGCATTGTTGCTTCCGACGTCTCGAAGTACAAGCGTTATTGATCCGTCTTCACACGTGCGTATCGGGTGTTCTCCCTGATGGTGGCGGTGAGCTCGAGGCTAGCGCTGCTTTACATCCTGCTTTATAATTACACCACGCCAGCCTGCGCCAGTGCCACTCGTCCCCCGTTGACGGATATATGGCCGCGTCCTTCATGGCCTGCTCGTCGTCGTGATACTCAACTTTCACACCTAATCGTACATTACTACCGTTACCAATGGCATCTGACTTGGACGCGCAGCCTTTGCTGCGGCCTTCCACCAGGCAAGCTGGAACGGAGGGCACAACCGCCACCGTATCCATCTCTTCCAATGCGCGCATTTCAATTACAAGTCTACCGCACTCTGCGTCTGATTCGGACTCTCACGAGCATGAGGACGATGTGGACTTGACGTATACATACGCATACGGCCCATCGGGACTCCTAGGTCTCCTGCATAACAAGTACGCGCTGGGGTGCGCTCTGTTTGCTAGTATAGGAGGCTGGGTGTTTGGGTATGACCAGGGAGTGATAGCCAATGTACTGGTATGTCTCCAAGCGTGTAGCATGGTCCACAAATAACTGTCCATCCATTCTACGCGTTGCTGTGGCACAGGTTATGAAAGAGTTTCTCCTACGGTTCCCGGTAGGTGCTTGGGAGAAGGGGGTCCTCAGTACGTTGTTTCTCTAGCAGCACCCTGTTCATGGTTCTCGGGCGGCAGCGACTGAGCCCATTGACATCTCTGCAGCTGCCTCGCTCGACCTGGGGGCTCTTGTCGGCGCTCTACTCTCTGGGCTAGCGGACCACTACTCTCGGAAGTCTGCTATATTCTGGGCATGTAGTGCGTAGTCTTCTCGCCACTCTGTTCTCTTTCCTATCAACCGCTCAGCCATCTCAATCCATGATACTTAGTCATATTCATCATCGGAACCGCCCTCCAGGCATTTGCCCTTTCCATATTTTGGTTAGTCTTGGGTCGCGGTCTAGCGGGTATCGGCGTCGGAGCACTCAGGTGCGCGTGCTGCTTCCGATGATATACTCGCCGCTCAGATCCAGCAGTTCGTTATCTCCTCTCTACATAACGGAAATATCGCCACCTGAACTTCGAGGCTCTCTGCTCGCTCTCGAGCAGTTCTCCATAGTTGTAGGCTGTGTAGCGGGCTTCTGGGTTGGGTATGCCACCCGCTCGAGTGAGTGCACATTATCTCGATTGAGACCAAACACATGAAATATGCCGGTAGTTGAGAGCCGACTGTCATATGTCCTGCCCCTCTCTATTCCTCTGATCCCGGCTATCCTTCTCGCCATCGGTGTCTTCTGGCTCCCGCCTTCACCCAGGCTCCTGATAGCCCAAGGTAAGGTAGAGGATGCCCGTGTGGCCCTCATCGGACTCCGAGGTGAAGAGAACAGGGCCCTTGTCGATGTACGTGATTTCATAGAACGACATGCGGCTGACAATCCATATCACGAGGGTTCTGTAGATTGAGGTACTGGAAGTACAGGCAGAGGCTACGCTTCTCGAACGCAGAGCCTACATGGAAGGAAGAGCATCCGTGAAAGACCCATGGCTTATCGCTGAGCTGAAAGGCTGGCGGAGGCTCCTCTCCACCAAGTACCGCGACAGGACGATGGTGGGTGTGATCGTCATGGTGATCCAGCGTGCGCTTCCTTACTATGCTCATTGCTTTACTTCGCTCATGATGGGACACACAGAATGGTCAGGTATCAATGCGCTTCTCTATTACGGCCCTACGCTGCTCTCCTCGTTCGGTCTTGGATCCTCGAACGCGACTTTGCTTGTAGCAGGCGGAGTGGGTATCGTGCAGTTCTTGGCTGTCTTTCCGGCGATAGCTGGTATCGACCACTGGGGTATGACTCCTGCGCCCCTCGTGGTTCCCCTCTTTGAATTGTTTTTTTTTTTGACCAGGTCGGAAGGCGTTGCTCAGAGGCGGGAGTATCGTGATGGGCTGCGCTCATCTAGTCATTGCCATGGTGGTGTGTAAATGTTGCACACCGTCTAAGCTCTGAAACACTTACTGCCTCGACAGATTCACGAGGACTCGGATGACTGGGCGGGACATCGAACCGGTGCTTGGGTGGCTGTAACGTCCGTTCCTTTGCACTCGTATTATCTTGGCAGGATCCGGAGTCTAACTCACTGGCGCCTGCTGCAGCTGCCTCTACGTGTTTACTTTTGCCTACGGGCTATCGTATGGCCCCGTGGGATGGGTCCTGCCATCAGAGGTATTCCCCACCAGTATCAGGAGTAAAGGTGTAGCGCTGAGTACCATGAGTAACTGGACAAACAATTGTAAATGTTTCTTGCAATATCTGCCTCATGGTAATCCTGAACTGTTCACTTCTAGTTTTGATCGGCCTGCTCACGCCGGGTTTAATCGAGCTTTCACCTGCGTAAGTTATGTCTCGCTGCTGCCTTACCTACATACCACTGACATATTTTGGCAGATGGACATTCATGGTTTTCTCCACGGCTTGTTTTCTCGGCTACCTGTGGTCAACGTACACTGTCCCTGAGACTGCTGGCGTCTCTCTCGAAGAAATTGACAAGTTCTTCCGAAGTAGTGTCGGGAAGGAGGATGCCGAACTGAGAGGAGAGGTACGCATCCCACAAAGTATTCCCGCATTCTTATGCATCATGATACCCTGGTTAGATCGAGAGGGAGCTAGGTCTGACGGACGTTATCAGACGCATCTGGGAAGACGGAAGAACGGATTAATGAGTGTAAAATTGCTATATATTGAAGGTAATATACCAGTCGCAGGGTAATCGGTGCATATCATGTTCATCCTCGTCCTCCGTTCTGACGTATTCAAAATCTCCTGCGTTGAGAATCGGGGCTCTCATTCCGCGGAACACGCCCATGAAAATTATCTCTCGTCTCGTCCCTTTTGAGCCTGCCCAGCTTCCCGCCAGGAGTCTGATCGTCGACGTGCATGCGTCCGAATCCTGCTTCCTTGAGGAGATGGACGGAACAGTCGACAACCAAGTGTTTCGCAGTGAAGGTCCGTCAAGTTATCTCATAGGGCGCAATGATGATTAGAGCTCTGGTTGACATATATCCTGCCATGCGGCCATCCATAGGAAGAAAGAACCCGGTCGATTCAGCGTGGGAACTCCATTAATATTGGTGAGAGAGATGGGACGGAACAACGTCCTTTGAGCGAGGACTTCGATTTCAAGGCCGTTTCTTGATGCTTAGCGCTTAACAACCGTGATGCGTAAATAGGTTGGCCATCTTGCTTGAGCTCCTGAACACCGCCGCGTCTGGTTGCTTTCGGTTCGTGAGCGTTCAGATTTAAGTGGAAGGAAGCAATAGCAAGCTCGTGCTAAGAAATTACAGATCTAGAATATTGAGAACTGAGTGAGTGAAGTCTCCAAACACGATCATATATTGTCCAAGGCCTAATTCGTGACTTGTCAAAGGAGGGAGGCCTACACTGCCCGACACCGGCAACTTGTGGCCAACGATTGAGCAATAGGCTTAGGTAAGAAGGAAACGACAGAAGATTATGTCGCACACAATCCGGTAAACCGGCTGGTGAATCTTGACAGCCCCTACCAACTCGACTTCCCTCTGCTAGCGCTACTGCCACTACTATTACCGGTGGCTCGATGACAATGTTAGCGACTTGAGTATCAATATCAACTGATGTTAGTAGCTTGAATATCAATATCGACAGTCTGTAAAGACAACCGCGAGGGTACTCGAAGGCACAGCAATTCCCAGGCCGTATACGATAAGATGGTGCCATTCCCGCTGCAATCCTCCTACCCGTCCAGTCTTCGAAAATCTCACCAGTCTTCATTATGGCAATCGCTCGGTGGACTTTGCTCTCTCGAGTAGCCGCCAAAGCACGCTCATCTCACTGCGCCGCTGTGACCGACACCGGCGTATGCCTTATCTACGGTGGAGAGCTCAAGCCCCGCGAGCCCGTCGACACCGAGCCCCTTGCTCTCTCGGATGAAGCCCTCAAGTCCTCTGCAAATGGAGAGCTGCCCCCCGTCAAGGGCTGCGTGCACGCTCTTGACCTGAGTTATTTAGCTACCAAAACGGGGGGTCCGAACCCGACCGATCGGGTAGACAATTGGCAGATCCTGCCTCCGAGTTCAGCTGGAGGGACGGTACCGATTCCGCGCGTCGGAGCGACTACGGTATGGTCGGCGAAGGACAAGCATCTCTACATGTGGGGTGGGCGCGGCGGCGTCGATATGGCCCCGCTCGGGCCCTCTGAGGTAGGGATGTGGAGGGGCTCCTTGGTCAATGCCAAAGCTGGCGGTGCAGTCAAGCTTGCATCCGTGAAATGGGAAAAGGTTTCCGCGAAGAATGAGGAGGCTGCGCCAGAGGCTCGTAGCTACCACGCGTCCGTTGCCCACAATGTGCGTGCATCCTTCGTGAATAACCGAATGAACCGCCATGCTGATCGCATCGCCCTTCACAGGGCAAGATTTATATTCACGCTGGATGCCCGGAGAAGGGACGTCTGTCGTCGCTCTACACTTTCGACGTGCAGAGTCACACTTGGACATCGCTCGCACCCGGTCCAGAACCGGGACGGGGAGGAACCTCGCTCGTCTTTGGTTCATTGAAGCAGTATGGCGACGTTCTTCTCAGATTTGGTGGTACGTTCACAGTCGTTTCACTAGCATCACGACTCATGAAATATCCAGGTTTTGCCGGGTACGAGCTCCCGACCGATAACTCTCTCGACATATACTCAATCGCCAATGACGTCTGGCACACCGTCGTGCCCGCCCCGGACCCAGAGCACGGACACCCCGGGCCCCGTTCCGTCCACGGCTTCACCTCCTTCCGCTCCACGTCCCCCAGCTTGACCGACGCCGTAGCAGTCCTCTACCACGGCGAAGGTGAGGCGTCGAACTTGGGCCATGCTGGCGCCGGCAGGTTCTACGACGACGTCTGGCTGCTGCTCGATGGGAAGGACGGGCTGGCGTGGAAGAAGGTCGATGCCGTAGGGAACAAGCCCGAGGGAAGGGGCTGGTTCCCGCCGGTTTCGTGTGTGAGAAAGGATGGAGACACAATGGTGCTCCTGTTCGGCGGGCTGCTCTCGTCGAATGAACGCAGCGACGAGCTGTGGTCCCTTGAGATCGAGTAATCCTTAGATGAAGTAGAAGGGAAGATGTGTACGCTGAGAAGCTGCCGTGTCCAATATGTATGTACTGGTATAGGGGACGTCCCGACGAATCGCACTCGCCCAGATGCTCAGATCGTCCAAATATCGAGATAAGATAACGACAGAAGCAGCTGACAGGGACGTCCCCCGACCCCGTGGGGTCATTGTGTCCCATGATTCACAGCGTCGAATCTCCTACGGTAGGTCAACTCAGCATCGCATATTTTGATTACCAGTGCTGGGAAGTACAAGAGAGCTCGAGCGATGCACGCACCGAACCCGTCCTATAACCCACCGTCTATAGCATCGGCGTCCGCACAACGTGAGTCCGTAGACTAGCTATAATCCCCTGGCTCAATGGAAGCTCATGTAAAAGGGACAGGTGGTAGCACGCCGACATGGAACAACGAGCTCCGTCAACAGGAATCAAAGTTATCATCGTCGGCGCGGGATTTGCAGGGCTAACCGCCGCCATTGAGTGCTACCGCAAGGGCCACGACGTCGTGATCCTCGAGAGCTTCCCCGAGCTCAAGCCCCTCGGCGACATCATCTCCTTCGGGCCCAACGCGGGGCGCATCGCCGCGCGCTGGGGGAATGGCTCCGTCGTCGAGGAGATCTTCCCCCTCGTCATCCGGAACAAGGAGCTGCGGTTCTACAAGTACGACGGCGAGTTCATCACCGCACAGCAGGTCCCGCCGCAGAACCCCGAGGCGCCGTTCCTGAACGGGCACAGAGGGGAGATCCACGAAGTGTTCTTCAACCACGCGAAGAAAATCGGGATCGACATCCGGCTGGGGTGTCGCGTGCTGGAGTACTTAGAGGAGCGGGGCAGGGCGGGTGTCAGGGTGAACGGGGAGACAATCTGGGGCGACGTGGTGGTCGGCGCCGACGGGGTGCGCAGCAAGGCGCGCGAGCTCGTCCTCGGCTACTACGACAAACCCAAGTCGTCCGGATACGCCATCTACCGCGCGTGGTTCGACTCGGCGCCGCTGCTGAAAGACCCGCTGACGAAACATTTGGTCGAGAATGGCGACACGCACACCGGCTGGCTGGGCCCGGACGTCCACTTCCTCGCGGCGTCCCTCAAGAACGGCAAGGACTTCTCGTGGGTCTGCACGCACAGGGACGAGGCGGACATCGAGGAGTCCTGGTCGTACCCGGGGAAGATCGAGGACGCGCTCAAGGTCATCGAGGGCTGGGACCCCGTTGTGCGCCGCATCGTCGAGCTAACGCCCGAGTGTGTCGACTGGAAGCTTGTGTACCGTGATCCGCTGCCGACGTGGATTTCAAAGGAGGCGAGGACGTGTCTAGTGGGTGACGCGGCGCATCCGTTCCTCCCGACATCGATCCAAGGCGCGTCCCAAGCCATGGAGGACGGCTGCGTGCTCGCTGCATGCCTGCAGATTGGTGGGAAGGAGAACGTCCCCATGGCCGTCCGCGCCTATGAGAAGATACGGTATGAACGTGTCCGGAGGGCGCAGCTTCTCGGGGAGGAGACCCGGGATATGTGGCATAAGGCGGACTTCGACAAGGTGAAGCAGGACCCAGAGAAAATCAAGCTGAAGAGGGAGGACTGGTTGTTCGCCTTCGATTGCGAGGCGAATACATATGAAGTCTACGAGGATGTCGTCAAAGAGTTAAGTGGGCAGCCGACGACGAATATTGGCGAGTCGCTCCCGAAACAAGCAGCTGTGGCAGCCTGAATGTTGTATACGTAGATGCCTGTCTCCTTGGGATTATTGTTTTATTTAGCGATATGGTGTACGAACCTGACTGCAGTCAGAGGGGGAGCAGAGTGACGAGATCTATCCGCGTGAATGAAGGCCTCTAGGCAGCGTAGATCTAAATGGAGAACATATCTTCGTTCTTCCTCCTCTACAAGGTCTTTCTTGACATCTCTGTCGGACTCGTCTGTCTTGGAATACCGAGTACTACGGTCAGTTATTGGTCCTTGACTAGTGAGCGTAACTGCCGACAGGCAGGTGAATGGGGAGGCCTTGGTCAGAGACATGCAGCCGCACTTCAAGAACTTGCAGGTGAAGTTTTTTGAAGGCGCCGGGCATGCTGTATTCTATGCCAACTGCGAAGGTGTTGTTGAAGCCATGATATCTTTTGTGCGGCAGGTGACCGTACGTGACGGACCCATTGACTGACTCTTTGCTGGGCATAACGTTCTCCGGCGCTGTGAACACCATTATTTACGAGCCCGGCGATGTGTGTAGATATGATCTCCTAGGCGTACCATTTTGAGTATGGGTACCTTCATTCCCTCTCGACCGCGGGATGCCTGTGTACCACAGCCAATGGCGAAAAGACAGAGGTAGGATATCCGACGCACGCAAACTGTCGCCCTGTAGTAGCAACACGTACTATCTATGAACCGTCCAGTTCCAGCACTGCATGGAAATAGCGAACGAGACTTCCAGCACAGACGTCCCTGATCCATGACATGCCAGTGGGATGGGCACGCCGTTACATCGAAATCGACGTGAAGGAAGCCACCCACGACTGCAATATCAGGAAAATAGTAATGTACCCGCTACCAAGCTGGGCCGCGAGCGCGGAGTTCCTGGGGTAGTACACATCATCGTCATGCATTTCGTCTTACAACGGGCAACAGACTGCACGTTCTTGGCAGGCTTCGTGAAGACCGAGGTGCACGCACTATCCTCCACGAGCACGTCGCATCTCAGCTAGCGGCTTGCGTTTATCAGGGAGGAGATGAATGTTCCCGCTGCTTCAGTGCGACGTTTTGCATCCCCAACCGAGGATGCCTACCTGGATCCAGTCAATGAGGATACAGTTGCATGTACCAGCCTGTACTCCAATGAGAAGTCATATCATCTGGGGTGGAGATTCAGCAAGATAGAAGTCCCGATGCAATTCGAGCCAGAGGGACCTGGACAGGTCAATATTTCAGGGAAAGATCACAACAACTGATCTGCAGCAATTTGTCATCATAATGACCTGAAGCAAGATAATACGCTGCGCAGGAACTTAGCTGAACTCACGTGGCATACGCTTATAGAGGCGGAAGATAGCGACATGGTACAGAATGTGCACTTCTTCTATAGCCGCGTTACCGACCATACCAAAAGGTAATGCACATCGCCTGGCGGCAGATCCGGTCTTTCTACCTGTTTCAGCTCAGCTTTAACCCTAACTTTACCTTCGTCAAAAACGTGTCCATCCCATAGCTCCCTCCAGCTCTCGGGGGAGTGAGTAAATAGCGGGGCCCCAGCCGGCCTCCCCCTCCTTGTTCTGAGCCCCTTATGAGGCAAGCCGACATGTGAACCAAAAATCATGGACCCTGGTTCAGGAGATAATAATGAAGCCGTCTTCTGGGCGAGCTCAAACTGCTTCTGTTCGTTGAAAAGATGGAAGAAGGCTGATGCATGTATCGCGGAGATGTGACCGATAAGGGGTGTCAATGAGGTAAGGGACGACAAGTCGGGGACAGGCGTCGAGGGAGGGGAGTAGACAACGGGTGCTGGCTGCAGGAAAGCCGGGTCGAAGACATCTCCTGGGATGAAAGGCACGGGAAATGGCTCTGGAGTCGACCGGAAGAGCTCGTGTCCGAGTTCCCAAAACTCTATTAACAGTCAAGGACTAACCCAAACACAAATGCCTCTGGGGGTTCATACCTGGGCGCAAGTCCGATGCAATCACGTTACGCAGAGGGTACCCATCGTCTATGGCTTTACGCGCATCATTGCCAACTTCATGCAGTATTTGCTGTTAGTGCTCATGGCAAGCAATACTAGCTGATAGCTACGGAGTACTCACAGCAACAGCCGATATCGAGGAATATGGCGCAGTTTCGTTCTTTGCCTAGCTGCAGAAACCGCTCATACGCAGGAAGGCGAGAGATCTTAAGGCTATCTCAATCTCGGTTGATCAGAGGATCGTCGAGATCGAGAACGTATTGATACTCAATTACCGACCTTGCAAATGCGAAGCGCCGAATGCATGGATAAGGATAAACCTGTCAAGTGGATTATCGTAGGTGTATCAGCCGATAGTTCCTTGGTCCAGTATAACCAATACCAGCCTTATAAGCTTTCTCCTGAACCTTGAGTATATGTTTCTTCAACTCTTCATCGTCCGGGATGCCCGTCTGAGATTTGAAGAAGGCTGATTCATGCTCATCCAACGAATATATACTTGGATCCAGGTCTGGGGGCGGTGGTGTGCTCTCTGCCATCCTGATGGATGTTCAATACAAGAAGAATGCTGCACAGATAAACTGCATGTGCAGACAGGAAAGAGACGATCAGCGACCTGAACGACCAAGATAAGGGCAGCGTGGCTTGTGGCCCAAGGTGTGACCCATCAACAGATGCTGCGCATGGGCATCTATTTCTTGAGAACACGACCTCGCAATCACGTCCGGGAACGAGTAAATCCTCCACAGCATCAGATACATTGAACGGCACGAGCGGCGAGACTAGATAATGTAGCGCAAAGTATGGAAAATGGAAGCGCAAATATTACATCGCCGCAGCATCGATACAGTCCGTTCGTAGGGTAAGTGAGGGGGTAACGGTGAGGTGAGAGCGTAGCAGGGATATCGATAGGAGAGCATACAGTAGAGACGGGGAAAGAATGCGAGAGAAAGACCGTAAGCAGAACACGCGAATCAGGCACCACAGCCCAGGGGATACGGATAAACATAAGGAATGAACACGCGAAAGAAAGAAAGCAGACCGGATAGGCACTAGCGAAGGGCAAGTCGATAAAGATTGAGACAACCAACAGCCCAAGTCCGACACGGATCCGAAACCCGCCAAACTTCCATCCATTTGTTGAAAAGACATTGACATCATCTTGGTCGTTGCTTTTGAGGTTTCGACTGATCCGGGGGCTCTATGGCGTCCGCAGGCTATGCACAAAGGGGTATCCAAAAACCATCGGCGGGATGGCAGGGGTTATCCACAGCGAGCGTCCACCTAGGCGCTCCCGACATTTTCAGCACCGACGTCGACGTACGAGTCAGACGAGCCAGGTGCCTCATCGCTTGCAGGCGCGACAGCGCCAGTTACGTGTTCGCCGAAATGTTGCTCGGTATGTTCACCGGAGTGGCCTTCTCCTTCTCCGTCGCCTCCTTCAGCATGACCACCAGCGTTCTGGCCGCCACTGCCGCTCGCAGACCTCCTCATGCCTCCGCCTTGAGGTCCCTGGCGAGGCGCGTTCGCGCACCGGTCTTTCCCGTGGGCAATGCGCAGATTTGCATAATCCGGCTTGTTCTTGATGCTCTCGATCGCCTTGATCGCATTCTGGATGTTCGTGAAGTTGACGAACGCGCAGTTCCTATGCGACACACACACATCAGTCTGACAAAACACGATGAACTTGTGTTGGGCACTCACTTCTCCTTCAAGAAGTTTACAAGCTCGATATCTCCGTATTCACCAAAGTCTCTCTTGAGTTTCTCCTCATTGAACGTCTCAAAGTCCTCGATATTGCCAATGTAGACATTGCGCGTGGCGCCGCCGTGAACGGCTAGGGCCAGCGAGGGCGGCAGAGAACCGGGGTTCTTCCCCCATCCGATCTTGAGCCTTCGGTTGTTGAGAGTAAGGCCTTGGTAAGACGCGACTTGGAAGAACGTGAGCGCCGCAGCGGGGTCAATGAACGTCACGAACTGTGCATGACTGATTAGATAAGAGTGAAGGAAAGCCATCGATCAGGACGTACGGCAATGTGCTTATCAGGCATGTATCGGATGCTCTGCAAAACCCCGCCCCGGATCGCGTTGCAGAGGTCTTCGGTGGTGGTCTCAGGATGGATGTTGCCAAGGTAGACGGTCCTGTTCAGGCCCTGGCCACCCATGCCTCCCATACCCATAGCTTCGGGTGAGAAGTTGGCGGCATACGGAGTGAAGGGAGACGAGAAGGGCGCAGCCTGTGACACCAGCGATTGAGCCGCTGCCGCCTGAGCGGCCTGCGCGGCTGCCTGCTGCGACTTGGGAATATACGCGCATCGATCTTTACCGTAGTTGACGCGCTTCCCTGCCCACGCGGGCTCGGTCGGCAACGTGTTGACCACCTTAATAACAAGATATGAACGTTGTGACACACGTCAAAACATGAGTGGCGTACCTTGTTTGCAGTGGCGATGCTCAAGAAGTGGACAAAGCCGATGTTCTTGTCCCTGACGATCTTGACCTGGTCAATGAGGCCGAATCGGCTGAGATCATCTCTCAAAGCTTCTTCGGTCATGTTCTCGTCCAGACCTCCGAGGTAAACGTTCCTGCTCGCATTGCTCTGCTGGATAGCCAGCGTAACCGCAGCAGGGACAGGAGACGGCTTTCCCCAGCCGATCTTAAGTTCCTGGCCGTGTAAAGACAGTTTCTTGATCGTCGCATCCGCATGGAACGCGGCGGCGGTGGCGCCATCGAGGAAAGACAGAAAAACGCACGACTTCTCGGGGAGGACACGGATGGATTCGAGCGGGCCGAAATGAACAAGATTGAGGAGCTCGTCGACGGAGGCAGTCGGGGGGAGGTTGCCGACATACACCGTGCGCGCGGTGGCGTTGTTGGAGGCAACGTTCAGAGCGGCACTGAGTGCCGCGGGTGAGTACGGGCCTTGCTGGGCAAGGTTGGGTATACTGAGGTTGAGCTGGGGCAGGCGTTGTTGATTGAAGTTCTGTAAGATGTAAGGGTGCGAGCGGAGCACAATGAATATATCTCGCGTACCTGGCCAAAATTGCCCATCTGATTATTGTACGGGAATCCGCCTAGAACGCCCATCCCAGGGATACCCATGCTGAGCATATTGTACCCGGCAAATCCACCGTACGCGTTCCCGTTAGCCGAGTTCTGCTGCTGCTGTTGCTGAGCAGCAAAGGCGGTGGGGGTATTGGGGCTCATCTGCGAGCCCATGCCAGCGCCACCGGTCGCGGTGTTGACGGAAAGAGACGGGGTGGAGTAGAGCGGGTTGGAGAAGCCCGGAGTAGGAGGAGAATTGTTGTAGGCTGCCTGGGATATGCTCGCGTTCGGGCCATAACCATAGTTGGCAAAGGCATCACGAGGGGAAGCATTGTTGGATAAACCATTTGTGCCGTTGGAGGCGCCGAAGGAGTTGGGGGACCAGCGGGCCTTTTTGGCATCAGGACCACCGACAGAGTCCATAGACCTCTTTGAGGGGCGAAGCGGGGCATACGGGGGTGCAGGGCAAAGACAACAATCAGAACGCCACACGCGCAGGCCGATAAGAGCTAGACTCTGACCTTCATCATGTCGAGCTCGAAACCGTAAGACGGGTAGTGCGCCTCAAAAGCTGCCTGCGAGTCCATCGGAGCGGGCGCGAGAGGGGGAACGGGGGCAGCGGGTATGAAATGGATGGCAGAAGGGGGCAACGGCAGAAAACGGGGAGAAAAAATGCAAAACGCAAGTTAGAGCGTGCAAATAATTAAGGTAGGGAGCGACGGGTGCGAGTTTGCGTGGGCGGGCAGAATCGTAGACAAACGAGTGTGGGGGTTTGGAAGAAAGACACGCACAAAAAAGAGAGGAGAGCCGGAGCCCAAGGGTTAAAGCTGAAGCTGGAACCTGAAGTAGTGCGTGTCGGGTGTATAAATATAAAATATTACGGGCACAATGCCCGGCCTTCAGCGAACAGCAATCAACCAAGTGAGCGCGACGGCGACAGCAGAGAAGGCGTCCTGGTCGTCAACAATACCCACCGGCCTTTCCCGCAAGCGACCGGCCTGATACACAGCGCACGGGCCACCCCAGCACCGCTTCCCCGGTCGTCGTTTGCCACTTCCACATGCTCGCGGATCGCGGCAGGCGCTGGCGACAGCGAGCACGGCTTGCAACAGCCCAGGAACAGCGCCCAACACGCCTGGAACTCTGCGCCTTCATACTGCTCTTCGAACACATGGAAGCTCATATCGTCCAAAGCAGGCACTTGGCCCGCCCCGGCCTCCTCGTGCGACGACGCGCGCAGTCTCTTCGAGAATGTCGGAAATGGGGTCGGCCTCCCCCCGCTGTTTCGCGTGTATGACTTGCTGCTTCTAATGAACGGTGATGGCGCGGTGCGAACCGCCTTCTTTTCCATCCCCTGCCTTCTCAGTGTTGAGCAGCTTGTGGCGCTCCTCACTACGGTATTTGCCCATCTGTCTGACCTGGATATGAAGGCATTTACGAGAGATCGAGCATCTCGGCTTTGCCAACAGCCTCCGCCAGACTCATCGATAGCGATTATCTTCTGGTCAGTATTCGTCCGCTGACGTTTCAGCGTCGTTGTTCTGTGAATGGATGGCCATTAAAATTTGCTGCAGGCCTCGGTATACTGTATACCGACATCGTAGTGCCTTTAGCCTGCCGTCCCCGAGATTCGGGATTTTTCAGACCGCTAGGTTTCATTCACTCTCATGTTTCAGCAAGTGAAGCCATATTCCCCCCCGGTCTACCTTCTGTTCGCTTCGTGAAAAGCCACCACGCAGGTTTCCGGCGGAGACTGGCTCCAGTCTCGACGAAGTGCCTGCCTACCCCCACCGGCGTACCGAGGCTTTCGACCAACTTCGCTGCCCAGCCCACCAGCAGGACAGACGCGCTCGTAACTGCACCGTGGTGAACTGCAGCATCAATTCGTCCTGCCAAAATTCATGATGACGGCTACCGCGGCCCGCCACACTCCTGAAGCTTCCCGCCTTCCCAATAGCAGAAGTCCCTCCCCCCGGTGCAGCTTCTCGTAGCTCAGGGTCGCTATGGGACGGGATCTGGGCGGCAAAAATAGGACCTCTGTGCCTTCAATTGAGACCTACGTATGTGGCCCTCATCAAGGCAGGGCGCGGCAAAGGTTTGCGACGCTGCTAGTCCGGGATGACGCAAAGACGCCAGAATCTGTGAATTTTGTTTTTAGGTGAAACGGAGAAGGCTCGGTGAGGAGCGGACATTGTGCTGACCGCCGTTTGACTCAGTGTGGCTTGACCTGATTGCTTGAACTCAGTCCGGGCGGCGACTCTGCCTTCTGTCAGCCGTACCACTGAGTGTCTTAACTCTCCCAGAGACGGACGCTGCAGAATCGGGTCATCCGCGAGGGCACATGCCGTCCTAGACCGTAGCAGTATTCAGCAAGGCACGCGGATTGCCTCCTGACTACCGGTATTGCATTGTATGGCTGCAACGACGTCTGCGAGGCCTCGCCGAATATTCTTGACTTGTCCACGCGCGTGGTCGGCAGCAAAAGCATCGCGTCTTCCAGGGCCTCGCGCCCACCACGGTCCGTTGAGAATTCGTCAATCGCGAACTACCTGACATTTATCCCTTGTTACGCCTGGGTGGGTTCATATCGACAGCGGTTCGGGCCCACCGTGCTCGCTCCTTGTTCAGCACTGTGAATCGGGGCCAACCTCAAGCCGTCCAAAGGCTTGTCCCTCAGGCACGGAGCTTGCGACTGCCAGAGTCATCCAGCCGTCTGGGTACAATTTGTAGCCTGTAGGCCAAAATTCAGATACAGCTCTAGGACATTCAAAGTGATCCCATCTGAAAACGTAGCCCGTGTTATGTAGCTAGTCCTGGTTTCGTCCAGGCTGCATCCCCCGTCTACGGTCGAGATGTTTGACTGGTGCTTCCTTGTAATATCCCGATAGTGTGCTCACTTGTTTAAGATTGATTTGTGCGTAATCCACCGTCATTCCACCGTGGTGTGGTGTGGTGATCTTACTAATTGTGTCCTGTGGCCACAGCAAGCTTATATTCATTAAAATACCCTTTCCAACGTGAGTGCTAGTTATCTCCACACTGCAGGGCATTCTCTAGCAAGTACACATGTACAGTATATTCAGTTTTCCAACTGGGCACCGGAAAACAGATGTGACAAAGCTGCCGATCTTGTTTCAGCATCAAGCCACTTGCATACTCGCTCGTGGAATCTGGGACATTGTAACCCGCAGTTGTCTTTGTCCCTTGAACTGGGAAGGAACAGGGATGCTGTAACTGCCATCAAAGATTGAGGAACCCTATGGTTTAGATGTCAAGTTGCATGCATGCTTGCTCTAGGACTCTGGGACATGTAGGTAGTGCAGCCTGCAGCTGTCCCTGTCCATTGGACTGGGTGCAATAAACTGGGTGATATATGTAGATGCCAATCTTTGACTAGCAGCACATAGCACTATGTGCCAATGATCGTGGGTGTCAAGTGAGTACTACTCTAATCCTTTTCCTAAGTCCTCAGTTCATCATCATCACTCCTTTGTACTACTGAGCGATCTGCTATATGGCCTGGTCCTGTCTTTGCTCACATGAGCCCCGGACCCCTGTGAGGCTATGCTGGAGAGCTGGCTATACCTGGACCAGGGTATGGTGAATAATCCATCAGAACTTTGTAACATATGTTAATAACATGGCATGCTCTGAAGCACTTTTTAACAGGGTTATTAACAGTTAATAACATTTAGTTTCATCAGGAAACACCAAATTCTATAGTGGGTTCCCCTGGATACATAGTCCTCCGTAGGTCCACAGAGGTCAGATAGGTCAACATAGACAGGGGGAGACCATAGTAGGGAGTCATAGGTGAGATGTATTTCCTAATGTTGAAATGGGTTAATTATGCATCAAAAAGACATATCAACATTGTCAAACACACTTTTGCAGTTTAAAATGCCTGGTAGGCCTCCACTGCTCTCTCCCGGAGCTGTATGATGTGCACTTTGCAAGCTGAAGCACATCAGGCTCTGCTGGTGCATGGTGGATTCCAGGCTACCGAGATGGGGAGTTTTTAACACCCAAATCAGCCTTGCCTAGAGTGGTCTATAAATAACATGTATTAACCTGTTGTTAACAGCAGTGTATAACAGTGTAAATAATGAGTGATTTTTATGCCGCACCCAGGTCCTGGGTGATCTGCCTGACAACAATCCTTGATGGACAGCATAGGAGCAGTACATACAATCATGGACATCACCTATCAGCACTTTCCCATCATCCCCCTTCCACATCTTGCTCAACTCCCCAACTCAAACTGCAGGGGTGCCCTCTCACCCCAGCCATCCCCAAGCTGATCCACAGCATATTGAGCCCCTTGTGTGTATCAAAACCACTCTTTACTGGCCATATAGTGTAGTGGTATTATCACATCGGGTTTTGAATCGGGCCGATCACGTGACCCCCGGAATCTTCCGATAACCCAGGTTCGAGTCCTGGTATGGCCTTCTACTACATCTCCTATTATCTTTTCGACCCGGGAGTCGATGTACCGCTCGCAGCATACCATTTTTAACATTGCATGTCAGCCCCCATGCCCATGGCCAAGGACTTGTTGTTGTATAATTCCCTCGGGGTATGTTCCCTGGAGGGGTTTCGCACAGGTTGTGCGAGGGTGATCGTGACTATGCAGGTGTTTCGAATGCAACGATTCTGGTTCCTAGGTCCTGGCATAATGTACGTATGTTTACCGATACCATCGGACTTGGTGTATCCCAGGGCACTGAGTGGACACACGAGCGAGCATCAGTTCCGTTATGTACGGCACCGCGCATGGAGGGTCTGCGTCACGGTGCGATTCAGACGGCCGGCGCGTTGTGATGATCACGGTACCTGGGCGTTGGGGTCGGCGCATCGCCATGAGCGGGATATAATGCGCCGAGCTCGAGAGTCAAGCATCCGCGGATCGTATCAGTATTAGTACTAGCAGTACAGCAGTACCCTGCGCAGGCCGACCGCGCGCACCCACCCCCGGTGATCCACACGACACCCGCCTCACACCTTGCGCGCGGCCCAGAACTCGGCGCGGTACACCCAGCGCATCATCGCGCGCGGGTCCGCGGTGTACTCGCACTCGACCGCGCGCGTCTTCGCCCCGCGCTCCTGCGCGTCAAAAACGAACCCGCACGCCTCCGCGGCGGCGACGACCTCGTCCAGCGCGCCCTCCAGCGCCGCCTGCTGGCCGGGCGTCCAGAGCAGCGGGCCGAGGTTGAGCCACGTCCCGCCGCGCTTGAGCAATTCGCGGATGCGCGCGAGGGTGGCGAGGAGGTTGAGGGAGGTGTCGAGGAAGAAGAGGGTGACGACTGCATCGTAGCTGGCGGGCGGGAGGCGGGCGGAGGGGGCGTGGAAGTCGTGTTCGAGGAGGGCGATGGAGGGGAGGGCGAAGGGGGGGACGTCGGGGACGCGGATGGCGCGGAAGAGGTCGGCGGCCGAGCGCGCGTGGGACCACCAGTGCGCGTACGGGTGGAGGGTGTGCTGCTCGGGCTGTTGCGTGCGTGCGAGGACGCGGTAGAGGAGGTTCTGGTACGCGGAGACCTCGCACGCGGTCACGGCGAACCCCAGCCGCGCGATCTCGTGCGCGAGCCTGTTCAGCCCGGAGCCCGGGACGAGGACGGTTTGGTTGGAGGGGGACGGGAGGGAGGAGAGGACGGCGAGGATGGGCGCGTGGGCCTTTGCGCGCTCGGCGGCGCACTCGGCGGACCAGTCGCGCACGAGGTGGCGGAGGGCGTCGCGCACGCGCGCGAGGTCTGGTGTGGAGGGAGAGGGAGAGGGAGGAATGGAGTAGTGCGAGCGCGCGAAGGCGCACACGGCGGAGGTGAAGCGGGCGTTGGCGTCGATGAGCTCGGCGTAGCGGTTGAGCTTCTTCGTGTAGCCCAGCTCGTACGCGAGGCGTTTCTGCTCCCTCGTGAGGAGCGTCGCGTAGCTGCGCCGCATGCGGTCGAGCTCGGCCAGCGAGAGGGCGCGGTACGAGGCGTAGGAGGCGAGCGCATGCTGGACGGAGAACGGGTCAGTCGGCGGGGAGGGCGAGAGGAGGCCGTGGATGTCGCGCAGCGGGAGGAGCTTGAGGGCGAGGAGCGTGATGAGCACGAGCGCGAGCAGGACGAGGAGGTCGGACGACGCGACGGCGGGCCATGGCGGGGCGGGCATGATGGCGGACGAGGACGCGTCGGTCACGCGACGGCGCAGACTCAGATCTGCCAGTGCATGCCGGATAGCCGGCCCGGAGGGTTACAGTACGCGCCACTCGTCAGGATTCCCAGTCTTAGCCCGCATCGTGTTACTGCTGACTTTTGATTCAAGTCAGTCATCCCTCAATGCCCCGGGCAGAACGATACCATTGACATGGGTGTAATAGTGGAGGTGACCACTGCCATCCACGCCAGGCCTTACGGTGTAAGTACCGCCACAATCACCCGTCTTTACTCGTCCAGTATACTTGAGGCGTAGCTTCCCTCGACCCTCAGATCCAAGCACGCACCCGTATGTACGAGTCAAGCCACCCATGCCACATCCGCTCGTGCCACATCTCGGCTACCGGCAAATCAATCCGCCTCCGCCAATGCCACATTCCGCCCATATAAAGTCCCTCGCTGGTACGCATCTCTAACCCTTTCCTTCACCACCACCTCCTGCGGGTCAGGCACGGCTCTTTATCCGAGTCCTTACGCATATCCACCGCCGTTCATTCAACTCTATATATTATATAGGTCCGGTACCTCCTACATCCGTGCCACACTCCTTTCTCTTCACCGAACCGCAACCACCAACATGTCCCACACCCACACCTACCGCTACCGCCGCGCGGACCTGCGCATCGACCTCGCGCTTGCGGGGTTCGGCGCCGACGTCGACGCGTACACGCGCCGCGCCCTCAGGTGGCACGACAAGACCACAGCGCACGCGCGCCGCCCCGAGTATGTGCAGGAGCGCGTGCAGCACACCGGGCCGCGCCAGGAGCTCGTGCCGGGGCTGTACGTCGCGGCCTACGCGCCCTCGTCGGAGACGGCGGAGGGCGGAGAGGGCGGGGACGCGAAGCACACGTATACGCACGTGATCACCGTCACCCCCGCGCCCGCTCCCCCGTCCGCGGAGGGGGAGCGGGCGTTCACGTCCTTCACGAGCCTCTGCGGGACGCGGCACCTCGTCTTGCACCTCCCTGCCCCCCCGTCCCGCGCTCCCCTAGACCGCGCCGACACTCCAAATGCCGGGGACGACACCGACACCGACACGGACGCGAACAAGAACAATAGCAGGAACACTCACACGTCCCCCCCGAAGCTCACCCAGCCCCACCTCCGCGCCGCCCTCGACTTCCTCTCCCTCGCGCTCCCCTACCTCCCGCCGCACCTCTCGCCCTCCTCCTCGCACGCCCTCAAGTCCCCCGCCTCCGATCAGGACATCGAGGTATTGATCCGCGGCCCGCCACAACTCGCACTGGACTGCGCGGTGTCCTACCTCTCCTGGGCGAGCGCCAAGCCCGCGCGGGAGGTCAGGGCGTGTATGCGCGAGGAGGGGATGGGCGCGTGGGGCGGGGGCGTGCTGGATCGGGAGGAGGAGGGGGAGGGGGAATGTGGGGATGGCTCGGCATGAGACGGGCGGGACAGGTATTTATGCATGCATGTATGTATTTATGAACGTCCAGCGGGCTGTAGCCGTATTTATGTATTTATGCTGGGAGGGGGATGGGATGGGGAGAATAGGACCGGTTGTGCTTGGAGCTGTATTCATGTCCAGTATTATGATTCGATGACCAAGGCTTTACGGGATCTACTCATCGTGGAGACAGACTCACTCAGACTGTATGTCACACCCCCTCGATGTTCGATCGCAGCGTCCTTCGTACGCTTACACTGTGGCCAAGTATGGTACGCATTACGTCCGTTCACTGTAACATAGTATCGTCCACAGAAGCAAGCACCCACAGCCAAACCAGCCCGCACTGTGTAAGTAGCAAGTCCATGCGAGCCACTGCTCCCTCGTTCCTCCTTCCCTCAATAAACCACAACCGTTGCCTCAGGAACGAACTTCAACGTCTGCCCACCACATCAATCCAAACGCACACGCACAGCCAGAGAAAGAAGGGGACTCACCACCTCCGTCCCCTGCCCGAACGCACTTGCGAACGCGCGCACGTCGCCCGCGGCGATGATCACGTTGTCAGACGGTGCGTACAGCAGGCGCGTCGCCGGCGTGCCTGCGGTCGCGTCGGCATCAGCATTCACTGACATTCCACCCTCAACCTTAACTACGGGTGTACGGAAGGGATGGGATGGGATGGAAGGGGAGGGAAGGGAAGAGGATGAGTAGGAGACACGCACTGCGATCGGTATTCACCCACTGCGCGCTGATCGCGCCGCTCGCAGCGTCGTACACCCACACTGCGCTCTGCACGCCCTCGGGGATGCCCGTCGTCGCGCTGAACGAGTTCGGCGCGGTCACCGCCGGCGAGCCTGGCGGGGCTATTCGGGGGGGGGGGGTTGTTGGGGTACGGGTTAGGAGGGTTTGACGCGGGGGGAGGGGGGAGGTCAGCGCGAACTGGAGGTAGGGAAGGCAGAGGAGAAAGCGTACTCTGCGTGCCACCACCGACGTAGGCGTAGTTCGTCGACCCAGGGCGGAAGTCGGCGTCCGTGCTCGCGGAGCCGGAAATGAGGACGAGGTACGGGAACGTGCTCGAGGGCCCGTTCTGCGTGATCACCACATTATCATTCAGGTCTCCTGTTCCTGTTCAACGGCGCAACCCCGGAGCGAGACGCACCGTGGTGAGGATGTCGAGCTGGCTCCCACTCGTCGGCGCAGGGCTGCCGCCGCAGGAGGACGTGCCGAAGGAGAGGTGTAGCGCGGCGGACGGGTCGGTGGTCACGCCGTACTCGCCGAAGACGTTGTACGTGCGCGGGAGGTAGCCCATCGCCGCGCCCGTGCCGGCGTTGGTGACCTGGATGACGCCCGAGTGGCTGCTCGTAATAGAGCGTCAGTAATTTCGCAATCGAATTATGGAAAGGAAGCGTACGTGGTGGACGGGCACGGGGAAGCCGCCGCACGAGCAGCTATTCAGGGGTGAGATTCATCCTGCGGGTGGCATAAGACTGGAAGGCCCACCGAGGCGGGGGTTTATTTTCCGCTCGCGGCGCTTCGGCTTGCGCGGGGGCAGCCCCCTTGCCAGTCTCTGCGCATTGCTCAGGCTCAGGTCGACGCTAGGGCTGGGGGCCCTCTTCTCCACCGGCTTCAGCGCAATGCCCTGCGGATTGATCGACTGGCTGGACGTCGGGGTGGGTTCGGCCTGGACGAGCGCCGCAGCTGCGAGGAGGGCAGCGACAAAAGTCTTTGCGTAGAGCATTGCGAACTTGTAATCGTTAGTAGTGCTAGTAAAGAGCGGGAGGGGTAAAGAGAGTGTTGTTAGTAGAGGTAACTTTTGATTTCGCGTAAGACCAGGAGGTCAGCGATGAGACCGTCAATTCATTCATGTCTCGTATTTAAGACAGCTTGCGGGACGCATCCGGGAAAAGCACCGAATCAAGTGCGATATAGGTGGCTGAAGATACTAGTCCCGATATGGTGCGGAGATTGCCATAACGGGGAATATGATGTGCCTAGAGGGGCGAAGTTGACGTGACATTGACAGGCTGAGGCTGTCGAAGGCAAGTCTAGGCTTCTGATCGGGGCACCTCGTTAAAACCAGAGATACGGTAGAACGGGAATAAGGGCAAGACACAAGTTTGTAACCATAACCTAGGGTCGAGCGGACAGCAGCCTTTTACTCATGAGTACGATATAATGCGATATACCCGGCACCGGCACATGTCCGCCAGAGAGTTATAATGTTCAATCACAAAGGTCCTAGCTGTGCCACATCCACTCTCCACCCCTCTAGTAGGCGCCCCCATCAGGAACCAGCCTCAAAGTCTACACCCAGTCATCATCAGCAACCACTCAAACAAAAGTAAAGACAAGACACTCACCAGCCTGGGGAAAGTCCCCGCGGAACCGAACCGGCTGCGGAAGCTTGCCACGTCGCCGGCCGCGACGATAGTGTTGTCCGACGCCGAGTACAGGAGGTCCGTCGCGACCACGCCTGCCCAAAAGAAAAACAGGTCAGACATGGCAACGCCACTAACGCGAGTTAATCACGCGCACTTCCGTCTGTATTCACCCACTGCGCGCTGATGGACCCGCTCGCAGCGTCGTACGTCCACACGGCGCTCTCGACGACCTCGGGCACGCCCGTCGCGACGCTGTACGAGTTCGGCGCAGTCACCGGCGGGGAGCCCGCAGGGGCTGTATGCATCACATATCAGAGGAGTACGAGGACGCCAGGAAGCGAAGCAACAACGTACTCTGCGTGACGCTGCCAAAGTACGCGTAGTTGTACGACCCCGCGCCGAGGTCGCCCTGTGTACCCGCGTTGGCGAAGCCAGAGATGAGTCCGAGGTACGGAAAGTCGGCCGCGCCGTTCTGCCCGGGCGCCAGTCAATATTTAAGAGACCTAGCGAAAGGGCGAGAAGGGGGAAGACACACTGTGGTCAGAATGTCCAGCTGGCTCGCGGCCCCGGCGCAGCTCGCGGCGCTGAACGCGACGCGGAGGGCGCCCTCCGCGCTCGGGGTCACGCCGTATTCGGCGAAGAGGTTAAGCGTACTCGGCAGGTATCCCAGGCCTGCGCCCGTGTCGGCATCGGTGACTTGGACAATGCCGGAGTAGCTAGAATATCAACGAACACTACAGTGTGAATGGGATGCACCGCGAAAGACGGCGCGGACAACGCACGCGGTGCTCGGGCACGCAGAGGGCGCCGCCTGTCTAGCTGTATATCCAAGGCGGTGTTCAGCTTAGCTGACGAGATGATCAGAGGCTGCACGCGGAGAAACGCACCCTGTCTGGATTTCTTCGATTGACGACTCGGCTTGCGCAAAGGTAGTCCCCTCGCAAGACGTTGCGCGTTGGTCAATTCCACGCTGGGACTGGGAGCGTCAGCGACGGCGTCCCTCTTCTGCGGCACTGGCTTGAGGGCGATGCCGTGTGGATTGATCGACACGGGGGTCGTCTGGGTGGGCTCGGCCTGGACGAGCACAGCGGCGGCCAGGAGGGCGGCAAACAGGGTCTTGGCGTAGAGCATTTTTGTCGGTTAGTCAGTTAAACGAGCGAAGAGGGTAAGGAAAGTGTTAGCGTTAGCTTTGGTCTACACCGAACCGGGAGGACAGCAATGCGAGGCGCGACTGGCCTGTCGCGAATTTAAGGGCGTTCATGACAGCGCCCGCCGGGAAGACGCCCTCGCGAGGTAATCGACGTCCAAGAAACCGCCAAAGTGCGCGCCCCGTTGAGGACAGTCGGTTGCCATATCGGGTGTCTGTGTCAATCGCTGACGGCGAGCGTCCAAGCATGGTGGCGTGCTACAAATCCCGATCCGTTCTCCGCGGGGCTTCCGGGAATCAAGAAAACTTTATGTGGTGTAACACGTACAATTATTCAACTTATCATAGCCATAGTTCTGTATGCACTGGGCAGTATACCCAAGCGCTGTAAGATGTTCCGACGTGCCCAATCCTTACAATCCCTAAGAGGCTATAGCGGTAATCAACTTGAACGTCTACACCCGCCCGTCAGCACCGTCCCCGCATCAAAACCAGAAGCACAAGTGGCCAATCACAACTCACCACGACAGGCTTATTCGCGCTCCCGAACGCGTCGCGGAACTTGGCCACGTCGCCCGTGGCGAGGAGGCTAGAGTCCGCCTGCGAGTACACGACGTACGTCGGGGCCACGCCTGCACGACATGGATTCGATGAGCCATGCTGCGGAAGGGAGGGAGAGGACGAGGGACCAAAAAGACGCACTCCCATCACCGTTGATCCACTGCGCGCCGACCGCGCCGCTCGCCGCGTCGTACGTCCATATCGCGCTCTCCGTGCCCGCCGCGCGGCCCGACGCAGCCGTGTACGTGTTCCCCGCCGCCACCGCCGGCGCACCTGGGGACGCTGGATGCATGTCAATGTATGTGTCTGTCAGCACGGAACGCGCGGGGTAGGGGGGGGCAGGCACGCACTCTGCGCGACGCCGCTCAGGTACGCGTAGTTGCTCGACCCCGCGGCGAGGTTGTTCGTCGGCGCGGTGTTCGCCGCGCCCGCGACGAGCCCGAGGTGCGGGTACGCGGCCGCGCCGTTCTGCCAGCCGGCCGTCAGTGTTCAACGGTCAGAGTGTGGAGCGGAGGACGCACGGACGTAGCGATGTCCAGCTGGCTAGCGGTGGACGCGGAGCTGCAGCTGGACGTGCCAATGGAGACGCGGAGGGCGCCCGCGAGGTTCGTGGAGACGCCGTAGTGGCCGTACGTGGTCATCGCGGCGCCGACGTAGCCGAGAACACTCCCGGTGTCGGCGCTGGTGACTTGGAGGACGCCGGAAACGCTGTATTCACAGGGACACACCTGAGCGGTGCGGTGGGGCGATGCTGGGGAATAAACACGTACGTGGTGGTCGGGCAGGCGGACGGGACGGCGCGCTCGGCTGTTCAATAGT